TGTGTCCCGGGCTCTGTAGGAGGGTTAGGGGTGTGTCCTGGGCTCTATTGGAGGGTTAGGGGTGTGTCCCGGGCTCTGTAGGAGGGTTAGGGGTGTGTCCTGGGCTCTATTGGAGGGTTAGGGATGTGTGCTGGGAACTATAGGAGGGTTACAGTCCTGGACCTTCGTGCTCCTGAACGCACAGTGCCAGGCTGATACTCGACTGCCCTCTGAAATGGTCCAGGAAACTTCTCAGTTCAAGGATAGGCAACAAACAATGGGGCCTCACCAGCAACAATGTGGTCATCTGTAAACATGATCAATAAATAACCTTGTGTCTTGTAGGTAAATGGGCAGAGAACTCTGGGAGAGAACATTGCTGACAACGCTGGGCTACGCCAGGCTTTCAGGGTACGCAAACGCCAGAACTATATATTTAAGCTGGGAATTCCCACAGGCTTGCCCTGCTTGGGGTAATGGTTTTGTCAGCCAAAACATGGGATGAATTGTGAAGTCAGGAAACCCTGCCCCCACCAGCACCACCCAAGGGTGAAACTGCTTGGTTGATTTTACGAGCGATCACATGGAAAATAGCCCTCGGCCCACTCCCACATCTGAGGCATTGTTATTACATCTTAAGGGGTTGACAAAGAGCACGCAGGGCTACAGGGACAGGGCAAGGTGGTGGGTGAACTGGATAATGGGCCCTGGCAACAGTGCCAGTCAGGAACCCTATCCATTGGGCATTGTCTACCATTTACTGTGACCAGGCAACAGCAAGACAACTTCAATTGTTTCATTGTCAAGTGGTCACAACACAGAAGGAGGCAACTCTGCCCATCATTTCTGTGCTTGCCCTCTGCTGGTCAGTCTCTTCTACCTTCTTCCCCCTGTACGTTTGTTTTGAGCCTTCACATAATTGTGACCAAAGTGAATCGGTGAAGCTGTAGGGATTCAGGCAGACTGAAACAACACCCCCAACAACACACAGAATCCCTGCACTGCAGCAAGAGGCCATTCAGCCTATTGAATGTACACTAATCCCCAAAGAGCATCCTCCTCCCCCTCCCATCCCTGTAGACCTGCAATTCCCATGGCTAATCCACCCAGCCTGCATATACTGGAACACTATGGGCACTTTAGTATGGCCAATCCACCTACCCTCAACATCTCTGGACTGCAGGAGGAAATTGGAGCACCTAGTGCAAACCCACACAGACACGGGGAGAATGTGCAAACTCCACCCAGATGGTCACATGAGGGTAGGATTGAACCTGGGTCCCTGGTGCTGTGAGGCAGCAGTGCTAACCACTGAACCATGGTTTTGCCGCAGCTCTGCAGGCAGTCTCTATCCACCCAGGGCTTGTGACTGTCCACCTGAAGGTTTGGTATTCTCCTGTGAATAGCATGGAGCAAGCCCTTACGTGACATCAGAAAGTACTTGGGTGCAATTGTCTCTCAAAATTTAACAGGAAGGAGAAAATTAATGGTCGGTTAAATCAGCAATAAACAAGAGGGTAAGGATGATGAAAATGTGCAGACTGGTCCTTCACCCAGTCTGATTGACCGTATGCTTACACTTTAATGATGATGAATGTTGTTCCCTGTTACCCCCCACTCCCAGGCCTACAGAAAATGGATACGAGAGGAAAGAGGAGACAAGGAGGAGCCACTACTGCCAGGTCTACAACTCAGTAACAACCAGCTCTTCTTTTTAAGTTACGCTCATGTGAGTCACCCTTCGTGTTCTTGTTACATTCCACATCAATGTTTTCCCAATTACCGTGAGTGTGCTTAGATCACCTGAGTGAAAACGGTGAATTGTGTTGGGTGTGTTCAGAGCCGAGGTTTAGTTTACCCTCGGTCTTGTGGTACAGGAGGTGACGACTCTGCCTCTGAGCCTGAAGCTCTGGCTTCGCTTCCTATCCCCGATGGCGAAGGGAAGTGTGGTCTTAATATGACCAAACTGGTTGAGAGTCAATGTGTAGATCCTCCCAACACATGGCAGCAAAAGCAGGAGAGATTTGTGGTCAGCCAGGTAATTGAGAGAAATCAGAGACTTTGTCATCAGTCTCCATAGCTCCCGGCTGCCACACATGCATAAAAGTGTACGTTGCCACAACAACTCAGATCCTTGGGTGGGCTGGGATGCTCAGTTGGCTGGATGGCTGTTGTGGATCAGATTGGTGACAACTGCAGGGGGTTCAATCCCTGTTTGGGCTGAGGTGGATTCAGGATCCGTCCTGCCTGGGGTGGAGATCACAGCGCTGGGGACTCGGGACCCAGCCCGGGGTGGAGATCACAGCGCTGGGGACTCGGGACCCGGCCCGGAGTGGAGATCACAGCGCTGGGGACTCGGGACCCGGCCCGGGGTGGAGATCACAGCGCTGAAAATGAGGAATCCCCTCTTGTTCTGTTGCTTGGTGTAGGAAGGAGTGGGTGGATGGAAGGGACTGTGATCTGTTCATGAGCCCTGAAGACAGGTAGCCAAAATGTATCAGAAACATAGCACTGGGATAGTCTGAGGAGAATAGCCACCACTAGCTCTGTCTGCACAAAGAGGTACTGACAGAACTGTTGTGTGGTGTATTATTGGGAATCTCAGCAACTTCTGCAGTGCACGGATACAGGTCAGTCACCAACTACACCACAGGTTTCTGTCACCTTTCTGATACCTTTGCAAGTGGTCTTCACAAACCCCTCAGACCCTCGACTCAACCCACTTACATGTGAATATCGACCATCAGAGAATACTATGATGGCCTACCCTTGGGCAGTACTGATACACTTGGAGCACTGCAAGGGATAGATATTTGGTCTGTTAGGGAATTGAGGGACAATGGGAACAGACAACAAAGACTGAGGATCAACCTGTTAAACGATGGCATAGGCCCCAGGGGCTGAATAGTCTATTCCTGGTCAACAAGGTGCAGGGCTGGATGAACACAGCAGGCCAAGCAGCATCATAGGAGCAGAGAGGCTGACGTTTCGGGCCTAGATTCTTCATCAGAAAAGGGGGAGGGGAAGGGGGTTTTGAAATAAATAGGGAGAGAGTGGGAGGCGGAAAGAAGAGGGATGGAGGAGAGGATAGGTGGAGAGGAAACAAACAGGTCGAAGAGGCGGGGAAGGAGCCAGTAAAGGTGAGTGTAGGTAGGGAGTTAGGAAGGGGATAGGTCAGTCCAGGGAGGACGGACAGGTCAAGGGGGCGGGATGAGGTTGGTCGGTGGGAGGAGGGGATAGGTGGGAGGAAGAACAGGTTAGGGAGGCAGGGACGAGCTGGACTGGTTTTGGGATGCGGTAGGGGGAGGGAAGATTTTGAAACTTGTGAAATCCACATTGATACCATTGGGCTGCAGGGTTCCCAAGCGGAATATGAGTTGCTGTTCCTGCAATCTTCGGGTGGCATCGTTGTGGCACTGCAGGAGGCCCAGGATGGACATGTCGTCTGACTGGCTCCATCCCCGCCTCTTTGACCTGTTTGTTTCCTCTCCACCTATCCTCTCCTCTATCCCTCTTCTATCCGCCTCCCACTCTCTCCCTATTTATTTCAAAACCCCCTTCCCCTCCCCCTTTTCTGATGAAGGGTCTAGGCCCGAAACGTCAGCCTCTCTGCTCTTATGATGCTGCTTGGCCTGCTGTGTTCATCCAGCCCTGCACCTTGTTGTCTCGGATTCTCCAGCATCTGCAGTTCCTACTATCTCGTCTATTCCTGGTATTGTTTCTCATTGCCCAGAGTGATGGAGCTGTGTGAATTGGAGTGATGGATTGCATGGGGGGTTCACTGTATCTGGGGAATACACTATATGTGCAAGAGAGTGATTGTTATACTGAGACACCACTGTTTATTCAAAGGTAGGCACTCTTTATAGGCATCTGGCTGATGATTCACAGTCCTTTAGCAGTGATCCTTTGGGATGTGCTGACTTGAGTGGTCTTACTCCTGGCATTCAAGGAGCACAAATATCCAAAACATATTCGTGGTTAGTGCATTACTCCTCACTCCTGTCCTACTGTCAACTTTAGCTCCTGGTCCTACATGTTCCAGTAACACTCAGAATATCTCTGCATAGTCCACCTTCTTGGGTGGGAGTGACACTCAACATGCTGATCTTCTTTCTAGGTTCGGTGCAATGCTTATCGACCGGCAGCCGCTAGGAATAAAATTCTGAATGGCGCTCACAGTCCCTCTGAGTTCAGGTAGGGTTTGGCTCTCACTAACTCCAAAAAAAACAGTTGCTGAAAGGAGGTTGGTTTAATATTTTGCTAAATTGAAGACATCGTAAGCTGACTGGCTGGACAAGGTAAGTGATGCCAATAGTGAATGGTACACATGGCCCTGTGCCATTATCACTGTGAGTTATAGCAGAACCACACTCCCCTCTGCTCCACTCCTTTCTCAGAGCGATAGACCAGTCTGGTACCTTTGCCCCTCCCTTCTCTCACAAGGCATTCTTTGAACTGCTGAGTGAGTTTGCCAATTAGTGCAGATTTAGGGGACTGTTTTACACTGCTGTTTCCATTCATTATATTTGAGACTCCGTGTGCTCAATTCAGGTGAATCACAGAGTTGTTATGGTGCGGAAGGAGGCCATTTGGCCCATCGTACATACACACAGAACCCTCTTGGTCAGCCAATAGGAGTGTCCTCTGGTTGGGTGGAGGTGAGACAATGGTGCTTCAGTCAGTTCTCTTTCTGCAATTGTTGACTTGCTTGCCAAGCTGGTAAGTTTGTTTGCAGACGTTTCATCACCATACTGGGTAACATCATCACTGCGCCTCTGGTGAAGCATCGGTGTTCTGTCCCGCTTGCCATTTATGTCTCTCGGTTTGCTGGAGTGTGTGGTGTCACTACCGGATCTGTTTCTTAGTGGTTGGTAGATGGGGTCCAGCTCTACATGTTTGTTAATGGAGTTTCAGTTTGAGTGCCAGGCCTCCAAGAATGCTCACGTGTGTCTTTGGTTGGCTTGTCGTAGGATGGCTACATTGTCCCAGTTGAATTGGTGTCCATGTGTATTGAAGTGAGTGACAATTGGTCACGTCTCTTGGTTGATAGTTGCTGTTGATGAATCCCGAAGACTAGTTTCCTTCCGGTTTGACCTATGTAATGTTTTTGGCAATCTTTGCAAATAATGTTGGTTCTGTTAGTTGTGGTTGTCGGATCCTTTATTCTCGTCAGTAGCTGTCGGTTTGTGGGCTACAAAATTCCTAGGGGCCAGGGTAATCTGGTGCTCATCTCAGATATGTCTTTAATGTATGTTAGGGTAACTAGTGTCTCTGGCCGAGTTGTGCCCTCCTGTTGTGGTCTTTTGTGTAGGTATTGGCTTTTCAAGTAATCGTTGTTTCTAAAGATGCTCTATATAGGTGTTCTTCCTCAGCTTTGCACAGCTCCAGGGTGCTGCAGCTCGCTTGAAAAGTGTTTTGACGCAGCTCCATTTGTGGGTATTGGGATGATTGTTATTGTAGTTGAGTACCTGATCTGTATGGGTGGTCTTCCTGTGTACCCTGGTCTGGCTTTACGTTTGACCATTACGTCCAGGAAGGGAAGTCTGTTGTTGTTCTCCTCCTCCTTGGTGAATTTAATGCGGTGAGGATAGTATGGTGATACCTGGCATGGTGACGAAACATCTGCAAACAAACTTACCAGCTCAGTGAGCAAGTCAACAACCGCATCAAAAACCTGAGCTACAAATCTTCTCACAAACCTTGAGTTCTCTTTCTATTCGGCTCTGGAACACAGAAAACCATGCTTCTATCATTTGCTTTGAATCTGTCTACAAGATCAATTCATTTGTTTTCCTTTCAGGGTCATGGGGGCAATGAGTAACTTTGAAGAATTCAGCAAAGCCTATAACTGTCCCACGACATCAGCTATGAATCGAGGAGAGAAATCTTGTCGAGTGTGGTAGGGACTGCTCGGGGGTGTTGCGTATATCACACTAACTTTGGATTCACATATTGCTTGTTAACATCCGATGTAAGGAAGTGGGCACCAAGTCTGCATTTCTGAGAAATTCTTCATTTTCATTTATTTATATTTACATTGGAACCCACGTTGGCCAACCGTCAGTTCCTCGCTATTCCAGCCTCCCTTTTTTTTTTATTATTGTTTTCCAGGGTTTTGGAAAACAGCTGATTTTTCATAGCTTGAACTGCCTCAGGCCATTTACAGGTCATCAGTGGGCCTTTAACCACCACCCTTTGCCTTTCAATGGTGTTACCATCAAGGAAACTCCACCCTCATACTGTGAGTATCCCAGAACAGCCCTATAAACACAGGCTACGAGAGCAGGTCAAAGACTGGGAATCCTGCAACAAATAACTCACCTCCTGTCCATGGTATAAGTGCAGAATGGATTGGAGTAGTCCCTACTTGAATTCAGCAACAATGTCCAAGGCTGAGAAACCCACTTGACTGACACCCTTAAACAAACAAAACTCCCTCCGCCACCAGTACAATGGCAGCATTGTGTACCATCTACAAGATGCACTCCAGAAATTCACCTTCATTGAAATTCTTTCAACAGCACCTTCAGAATCGTGATCTCTACCACAGCCAGAAGGACAAAAGCAGACATAGGAGAACACCACTACTTGCAAGCTCCTCTCCAGCCACAACCCACCCTGACTTGGAAGTATAATCATCATTTGTTCACTATCTCAGGCAAAATTCTGGATCTTGGTTCTTAACAGCTCTGTGGTCGTATCAACGCCCCCTCATCCAAACCACTAAGTGGTTCAAGAGGTCAGTTCACCACCACCTTGAGGGCAATAGGGATAGACAATAAGTTCTGGCCCAGCCAGAAAAGCCCATATCCCACGAAGAATAAAAGTCACGAGCAGTGGATTGTGGTGCAGTTTTCCATATCCTACACCGAAGGAGTAACAAGATGTTTACAAACACTTGTAACTACATTGAGAGGCTTCTTGTGCTTAACTGTCTGCATTGCAAACCCTGTAATGCGGAAATGTGTTCCTCCTCTAGAACCTTTCCTTTTGTGTACACCGAAGAGATGCTGGGTGTTTCTTACCAGAGTCGGAAACAGAGAATTAAGTTCCTTTTTAGTCTAACCCAACAACATACCTCCAAGTCATCCAATGAACTAAAAAAGCTACAAAACTGGAGCAGAGTTAATGTGTTGGCTTCAGTAGGATTTCCTTGGGACTCACCCCAGAAGCACTGAGACTGACAACTTGTGAAGAGCTCCATGGTTGCCTTGGAGCTGTCTTCAAAGCTCCCAGGACTCACTGTAGCTGGTGGATATTTATGTCTGAGCGGAGAAAGAGAGGCTCCATTTGTCACCTGTTGCAATGTAACACCCCATTCCTCTGAAATGTGATCACTTTTGCGCAGAAGCTCTCTCCCGTTGTGCGGCATGGCCTTTAAATAGCCACCTGATGACTGGCTAACGCAGGGAGAGGGGTCATGTTCTGGCCCTAGAATGTGCCTCATCATGTTACACAGTCAGATTTACTTGGCACCACCTTCTGCGTTTCTGAAACACTCTGCAGTATTTTGTATGGCTAGCCAACAACCACGGACACCGAAACAGACATCGGGAACCGAATAGTTAAATATTTTGACCCTAATATTGCGGATATTCTCATAGGAGGGGGGCCTCTCACTGTCTTTGACCAAATGCAAACAGCAGGATCAATTTTTATAACTCTTAAATGAGCTGTTGAGCCTTGATTGATGAGCACTGACTGGAGAAACATACAGTACTGATAGATCTGCCAACAGCCAACATTTTTAGACTGCTTAACGTGGCAGAACACAGACTAGCAAAGAGAGCATCCAAAGCCTCTCAACTATTGCTGCTCACCAGGGTTTATTTGGTAACTTTATGCAGCCTGTGCAAAACCCCATTCCTAGCAAGTGGGTCAGGGCTAAGGCGAGAACTGGTCTCCCTTTTGGGTACAAGTTCCTGCCAGGAGGGTGAGGTTGAGGTTGAGGTTGAGGTTGATAAACATGCTTTGAATTGACCACTATTCAACAACGGCAAGTTATGAAGTTGACAGCTAGGCCTGTCTGTGGTGGATTCCAAAGGGAAGAAATCTTTTGTTGAAATGTGTAATAAATAAACAATTTCTATGACTGGGTTAATGAAAGCCTGTCAAAATGCCAAAGTGTTTTATTTTTCACTTTAGATTTGTACTGGATTATGTAGCACGTTCATAGATCAAATAAATCATTTCAAAGACATCAAAACATCTATTCAATTTTCTTCAAATGATTAAAGGAGGACAAATGGATATTGTTCTGATCCCTAAACCTCTATCCCTAATAAAAAAAAAAAAAAAAAAATCCATAACACTCACTATAGGCAGGATTGGGCTGACAGCACTGCATGCAGAAGTTGCTTAGACTGAAGGCACATCACCCAGAATAATGGGACAACATACAATCACCAATTACTGAGAGGAGGTCCCACATATGCTGGTTTCCACCTACAATGCCAGGTGTCAATAAGTATCACCTTCAGCACGGAGCATCTCGGCATAATAAATCACATACAGTTTCAGAAAGTCTTGAACGTTGTGTTCATTTCACCAATGTTCAGTGCTTTCTCTCTAAGGCAGTGTTCAACAAACAAAGCTCAAGTGAAGCTCTTGTGACATTGCCGTAGCCACCTGCATTCATTTTCATAGAAAGCTACGCATAGTACAGGCAAATGTACTTGCAGGTGTGTTTATGTAACTATCTGCCACCACTGTCACACTCAAGTCTGTCTTGTTCAAAGTTTGCAATTCTGCCGAGATGTTAAAACACACCAGATCTTGTATGCAGATTCTTGGTTTTCCTTACATCCAGCAGTTGCAAGCATGTCAGAATCAGCAATTGTTGAGAAAGTCATGGAGCTCCTCTCTATCCAGACACCACCCCATCCACTTCCACTATGGTCTACACTTAGTCCCTTCCTCTCTTGCTAACTGCCATCCTTACTGCTTGGGTGCTGCTATGTATTAACTCCATTATTCTGTATCTGACCATTTCCTCACCTTTCTCTCATATCCGACCTGTGAGCTGCTCTAAAGTCAACATTCTCCTGGCAGGGAAATGGGGGCCAAAAAAAAACAACAAACCGCCAACAATTTCCTCAATCGGAGATTGACTTGCATTGATCCTGCTGACTTGAGATACCTGGCCCTCTAGCCATCTCCTACTTGTCATCTTCATTCCTTCATCTGCAGCTCGCTGCCTCATGCATGCATGTCCCAGTAAAACCAACACAAGGACAGTGGATGAAATACAACTGAAGATAAATGGTTATTGAGATTATTAAAAGGTACAAAAAAGATCACAGATGACTGTTTTAAGATTGTCACTAGAAACATTTAAGGTTACAAGCTGTGAAAAATTTATTAGCTCTTAAGTTGTATAAATGTTATGTCAATAAAAACACAACCCATGGCAGAAAATCATTTTATGTTTAGTTATTGCAAGACAAAGATCCTAATAATTTTTTAAGCACTTTGAATTGAGGAAAAACCTATTTACAATATCTAACAAGTTATCACAAAGCTCAGTTTCAGCTGATCATCTCAACCATCAAACTTGTTTGCGATCTGAATGATTGACAGTGAATACGTAGGAGCATTTGTATATATTGCACAAAGCATTTGGTTTTTCTTGTATTTACATTCCTGCAAAGTCAAAATTTCAAGATTTCCTGTGATATCACTGTGTGAATCAATGAGTCATCCAAAAGTAGAAACTACTGTACAACTGTATTGTCTGGTTACCTGTGGACTGATGGCAGTGGGTGAAGGAAGCTTTAGTTCATCTACCTGAAGAAAATGTTACAAGCAGGATTGACTTAAGAGCATTAATTTTTCTCAGTGTAAAAACAACTACTTTATAGGAAAGTTATTCAGTGGAATAAATGTTTGAAATTAGAGTCTTTGGCACTTCAAGTAAGCTGTCTCCATTTTCAAGAAACGTTTTAATTTACATAAAACAAAACTGATGTACAAAATTCCACCTAATTGTTACCCTGTAGTGTGATATTGGGTTAGCAGGTGTATGTTTGATCCCATTATTGTTCCAAGTTAGTTACTTCAGTAGTTGGCATGGTAGTTCTACTAACTCAAGTAGTTACAAAAGCTGGTGTGCAAATACAGAGCAGTTCGCACTAAAGGGAATCTCACATTATGTTTTCTATAGATTAATAGGACTCCCTTGCTGAAATATGGCCATAAGTTATATATTGGCGAGAAATAACAAGTGTAGACAGGCTTTATAATAAATCAAAACTAAAAGCCAATTACAGGTGTCAACAGCAGGTGAAACCGGATGAACGCAGACAGGAAATCATCAGTCCTCAGTTGTCAGAGGCACAAGATGGACTGCTGCTTCAAGTGTTTTTAAGATCCGCACGCCTTCCACGCTCTTCAGCAAAGAGGTCCTCAAGAAAGCAAAGCCTTATGCTAAAAGCTGTATGAAAGGTTTGGCCAACAGTCGAAACTCCCAAAAAGAACACTCTGGTTTTAATCTTGATGTGAGGGGGGCTGGATCTCGCGTTAACAACCAAACTGAATCCAAGAAGAGTGCAGACAGAATCAGTGCTATTGCCATTTTCCTGGCAATGTAGGAGCTGAGATTCAGCAATGACAGCCACGGCCTATACTTTATGCCACATAGTGGTACTGGTTGGCATTGTCTTTGTCTCTCTCCATATAGTCCCGGTCAATTAGAGACTCAATCCTTTTCTTCAGGTCTCCTGGCTGAATATTACGGATGAAGTGGGAAAAGAAAAACATGCATGATTAGATTTGACTTTTCATGATACACTTCCGGTTTAGAGAATGGGAAAGCACAGTCTCAGTCGTAAGGAGATAATGAGCAAACAGGCTTCAAAGCATCTTCTATTATCCAACTAAGGAACAGCTGACATTATATTCAAAATAAGTCTCAAATAAACAACTGATTTCTAGGAGTACTGAATCTTCAGTTTTATTTTGCAGTTTATTTCTGGGCTGAGAGAAGAATAGGATTTCAGAACTTAACATCTGCATCAGTGGTCAGCTCGATCTATTTCAGCAAACAACCTGTCTTCACAACAGCCCCAGTAAAGCACCCGTTACTACAACAGTATAGTACTTTAATATTCCACACCCATTAACCAGCTGTAACTCAGCACAGACACTCACGTCCTCTGAATTGGGGGAGCCACCATGGACCTGTTCCAGCCTAGAACCAGCTTTTGACCATCCAGCCCATCTATAATAATAGACCCCAACTCCTTTCCCATGCTACCTCACTTTGGGGTTAGATCATACCCAATACTGAACAGAAATGGAGTTAAGATTGATAGAGTCTCTCTTCTGGTTTGAAAGTTTGTTAATTTGCAATGTATTACTAAGTTTGAACTCAGCTTCCCTTCAAAATCTCCCATCATTTCTCTCAGATTCCACTTCTCCAGAGTGACTAATCCTAGTCTCACAAGGCTCTCCTGATAACTCAAGTGTCTAACAATAAATTAACTTCAAAGGTCTTTCCTACATTGATGGCACAGTGGCCATACATGGGCCTCATACAGGGCTGTTCTTCCTCAACTCCTGCGATCTTCTATCCCTTCAGTGAAATATCCAGTTGGCTCTCCTCCTGCAATGTCTAAAATCAGTTGATTCAAAACGTGGTGGTTGCAGTGTATTGACGGGGACTTGAAACAACCTCTCCATGGAATAGTCCAAGCTGACAGGAAACTTTCGCCCTTTGATGTTGTGTGAAGATGTGTGCTACTAACTTATAAAGGTACTTGAAATAATTGATGATTGATTAAGGAAAAAAAGGCCTACAAATAGGAACATATGGGATTCTTATAGGGTAGGTGCAGGAAGGATACTTCCCTAGCAGGGGTTTTGGGGTCTAGAACAGGGAACACAATCTAAGACTAATGGACAGCGAGGAAGAAGAATTTCATCACTCAGGTGGTGAATTTTTGGAATTCTCTACTCCAGCACTATGGATGCTCAGTTATTGAGTCAACTCAAGACTGAGATAATACAAATGAATATGCAGATAGTGGGGAAGAATGGTACAAAGGAATGGGGATGATCAGCCATGATCTTGTTGGATGACAGGCTGGCTTTAGCAGCTAAATAGTCTACTTCTGCTCCTATTTCATATATTGTTGAAGGTTGTCAAGCTTCTTGAGTGTCATTAAAGCTGCACCCATCTAGGAAGGATCACACTCTAGCTTGTGCCTTGTTGGAGAAGGATAGACTTTGAGAGACAGGAGGTGAAATCCTTGCCATAGAATTCACACCCTCAGACCTGCTCTTGTAGCCATAGTATTGACATGGATGGTCCAGTTCAATTTCTGGTCAATGGTAACCCCCAGGACATTGACAGTGGGTGTCTTCATAATGATAGTGCCATTAAAAGCCAAAGGGAGACAGTTAGATTCTCTGTTATTTGAGATAGTCACTATCTGACACTTGTGGCTGGAATGCTACCTGCCAACTATCAGTTTAAACCTGAATGTGGTCTACTTCTTGTTGTATATGGCTAGGTCAGCATGAGGAGTTACTGAATCAACAGTAAACATCCCCACTTCTGACATGGTTGAAATGTCACTGATGAAGCAATTGAGGGTAATGCATTTGGTATATCTACTTGGACTTTAGCAAGGCTTTGATAAGGTGCCACACGGGAGACTTCTAGCTAAGAGCCCATGGGATCCAAGGAGATTTGGCTAATTGGATCCATAACTGGCTGAGTGATGAGAGGCAGAGGGTTGAGGGTCTTTTTTTTTTGTGACTGCAAATCTTCTCCAGTGGAGTTCCACAGGGATCAGTGTTGGGGGTATTGCTGCTTGTAGTTTATATAAATGATTTAGACTTGGATGTAGGAGAGATGATCAGTAAGTTTGCAGAGGATACAAAATTACATAGTGAGGAGGAAAGCCTTGGACTACAGAAGGAACATAAACAGGCTAGTCAGATATGCAGATCAATGGCAAATGGAATTCAATCTGGATAAGTGTGAGGTGATGCAGGACGAATAAAGCAAGGGAATACATGAGAAACGGTAGGATCCTGGGAAGCACAGAGGATCAGACGGATTTTGGTGTGCCTGTACATCAGCCCCTTAAGGTAGCAGGATGGGGGATGAAGTGATTAAGAAGGCATATGGTATACTTGACTTTATTAATCGAGGCATAGCATTTAACAGCAGGGAGGTTATGCTGGAACTGTATAAAATGTTGGTTACACCACAGCTAGAATAGTGTGCGCGGTTCTGGAATCCATATTATAGGAGGGATGTGATGGCACTGGGAAAGGGGCAAAAGAGATTTACCAGTATGTTGCCTAGGTTGGAAAGTTTCAGTTGTGAAGAGAGATTGGACAGAACAAGGTTGTTTTCCTACAGCAGTGGCAATTGAAAGGGGACATGATTGAGATGAAGAAAATGATGAGGGGTGTAGATAGGGTAGGCAGGAAGGAACTATTTCTCTCGATAGAGGAATCAATGTCTGGGGCAGGCAGTTTAGAGGAGATAAGGAAAAACTTTTTTGCAAGAGAGTGGTGGGAATCTGGAACGCTCTGCCTGTAAGGGTGGTACAGCAGAAACCCATTTATGAAGTATTTAGATGTGCTCTTGTGGTGCCAAGGCATACAAGAGTATGGATCAAATGCTAGAAAATGGGATTAGAACAGAATAGAAAGGATCTCTGTGACTGATGATGGTCGGGACAAGGAACTCCAGCAGACAACGTCGAAGGCAATCACTTTTATTCTTTCACGGAACATGGCTGACACTGCCAAGATCAACATTTGTTGTCCACCCTGAATTGTCCTTGAAAGGATTGACTTGCGAGGACTTTTCAGAGGCAAGAGTACGGAGTTAAATGTATGCCAGACCAGGTCAGGACAGTACATTTCCTTCCCTAAAGGATACTAGTGAATGTGATTGTTTTTGGACTACATTTGCTAATAGTTTCATGAGCGCTATTACTAAGGCTAGCTTTATATTCCAGTTTATTAATTGAATGTAAATTTCACTAGCCTTTGTGCCTTGTGTCAAAGCTTGTGCATGGGCCTTTGATTAAGAGTCCAGTGCCATTACCATTACAACACTATTTCTCTCTTGAACCCATCTTTGAACCAGGAGGTCAGGAGCTGAGTGGCCCTGGCAGAACCCAAACTGGGCGTCACTGAGCAGGTACTGCTTGATAGCGCTGCTGATGTTACCTTCCATCGCTTTACTGATGGTCGAGAGTAGACTGATGGGACAGTATTTGGCCAGGTTGGATGTGTCCTGCTTTTTGTCATTTCTTCAGGTTACGTGGAGTGAATCAAATGAGCTGAAGACTGGCATCTGTGATGCTGGGGACCATAGGCAGCATTTCTGGCTGAAAACTGTTGCAAATGTTTCAGCCTTATCTTTTGCATAGATGGGCTGAGCTCTTCCATCACTGAGGATGGGGGTACTTGTGCAGCCTCCTCCTCTTCCTGCAGTGAGTTGTTTAATTGTCCACTACAATTCACAACTGGATTTGGCAGGACGGCAGAATCATAGAATCCCTACAGTGTGGAAGCTGACCATCTGGCCCACACCAACACTCTGAAGAGCTTTATATTCCAGACCCAACCTCCTACCTTATTCCTGTAACCTTGCATTTCCCGTGGCTAATCCATCTAGCCTGCACATCTCTGAACAGAATGGACAATTTAGCACGGCCAATCTATGTCTGTGGGGGTAAACCCGAGCACCTGGAGGAAACCCACGCAGACACGGGGAGAATGTGCAAACCCCACACAGACAGTCACCCGAGGGTGGATTTGAACCTGGGTCCCAGGCGCTGTGAGACAGCAGTGCTAACCACTTAGCCACCGTGCCCCTTCCACACTGTAGATCTGATCTGATGGTGTGGAATCGCTTAGTTCTATCCTTAACATACTGTTTAACACACAGTAGGCCTATACAGTGCCTTGAACAGTTATTGATTTTTTTTCCCCCCCAATCACAGCATGTGCAAGTCAATGGTTAGGTCAGCATTTATTACCCATTCCTAATTCCCTTGAGGTAGTGGTGAGAGTCCTTCGTGAACTGTTACAGTCAATTTGGCGTAGCTACACCCACAATGCCGACAGGGAGTGAATTCCAGGATTTTGATCCAGCAATAGTGAAAGAATGATGATATATTTCCAAGCCAGGATGGCGTGTGAATTGGAGGGAATCTGCAGGTTGTGATGTTCCCATGTATCTGCCGCCTTTGTCTTTCCAAATGGAAGTGGTCGTGGATTTGGAAAGTGCTGTCCGAGGAGTTTTGGTGAATTTCTGCAGGGCAGCTTGTAGATAGTACACACTATCTTTATTAATCGAGGCATAGCATCTAAGAGCAGGGAGGTTATGCTGGAACTGTATAAAATGTTGGTTACGCCACAGCTAGAGTAGTGTGCGCGGTTCTGGAATCCATATTATAGGAGGGATGTGATGGCACTGGGAAAGGGGCAAAGAGATTTACCAGTATGTTGCCTAGGCTGGAAAGTTTCAGTTGTGAAGAGAGATTGGACAGAACGAGGTTGTTTTCCTACAGCAGTGGCAATTGAGAGGGGACATGATTGAGATGAAGAAAATGATAAGGGGTGTAGTGGTGGTGGATGATGAGTGGTGGAGGGAGTGAATGCTTGTGGAGGTGGTGCCAATTAAGTGGCTGACTTGTCCTGGACTGTGTCAAACTTCTTGAATGCTATTGGATTTGCAGTCATCCAGTCAAGTGGGGAATATTCCATCAAACTCCTGAGTTGTGCCTTGTAGATGGTGAACAGCACTGGGGGAGTCAGGGCGAGTTACTAGCTGCAGGATTCCCAGCCTCTGACCTGCTGTTGTAGCCACAGTATTTATACGGCTGGTGCAGTTAAGTTTCTGGTCAATAGCATTGATAGTGGGGGATTCAGCAATGGTAATACCATTGAATGTTTATGGGCAGTGGTTACTCACTTGCACTTTACCTAACCTCATCTACTCTATCCGTTGCTCCCGATGTGGTCTCCTCTATATCAGGGAGGCCAAACGCAGACTCAGGGACCGTTTTGCCGAGCATCTACGCTCTGCACACACCAACATGACCTTCTGGTTGTCACCCACTAACTCCCCCTCCCACTTCCCTGATGACACGTCCATCCTTGGCCTCCTCCACTGTCCGTGAGGCCAAACGTAAACTGGAGGAATAAAACACATTTCGCCTCGGGAGCTTACAGCCCAATGGCCTGAATATTGACTTCACCAGCTTCTAAATCTCTCCTTCCACTCCACCCTTCCCACTGACCAACCACAAGAACCCACTGACCAACCACAAGAACCCCTTACCTGAATCCACGTATCTGCGTCTCACCTATCCTCACCCCAGCCCCACCACCCTCCCTCTACTTATTTCTGCGCTCCTTTCCCCCTTCCCAGGCCTGAAGAAGGGTTTTGGCCTGAAATGCTGACTTTCCTGCTCCTCGGATGCTGTATGACCAGCTGTGCTTTTCCAGCTCCACGTTTATTGACATTGGTTATATTGTCTCTTATTGGAGATAGTCACTGCCTGTCACTGTTGCTGGGTCAAACTGCAGCAACTCCCTTCCTAACAGTACTGTGGATGCACTGCCAAACTATGGACTTCAACATTTCAAGGATGCAGCTCACCACTATCTTGCCCCCCGGGATAATTAGGAATGGGCAATAAATCCTGGCCTGGCCAGTGATGCCCTCATTGAATATCATAGAATCATAGAATCTCTACAGTGTGGAAACAGGCCCTTCGGCCCAACAAGTCCACACCGAACCTCAGAGCATCCCACCCAGACCCATTCCCCTATAACCCACTTAATCTACATCTCCCTGAACACTATGGGCAATTTAGTATGGCCAATCCACCTAACCTGCACATCTTTGGACTGCGGGATGAAGCCAGAGCACCCGGAGGAAACCTATGCAGACATGGGGAGAATGTGCAAACTCCACACAGACAGTCGCATGAGGGGAATTGAACCCGGGTCCCTGGCGCTGTGAGGCAGCAGTGCTAACCACTGAGCCGCCACAAGGATAGAATGAAATAAGCAACCTGGGCCTGCTACATCATTCAATCAGACCGTGGCTGATCTGCATTTGGATTCCCACTTGGTTCCATATCTTTACATGGAAATTTCACAATCTCAGTTTGAAACTTTCAATTGATCGAGCCTCAAATATTTGTGGCGGAGTGAGGGAGGTGGCTAGAGAAGAGTCTCTCATTTCAGCATTCAGCCATTGCCTCCGGGACAAAAATAGACACGTAGTCAATCCGCTGGCGACTTGGAAGTGTTTATACACCAAATCCCCAATATCATATTGCAAAAATCTCTCATTACCTTCACTGGAAATTTTAATTGGTTATAGAGTTCTGCAACGAGGTGGTTATGGCTGAGTGTCTTCCTCATTTTCATTATTCGAACGATAGCAGCATCTATTTGGTACTGTCTGTCCTGGAATACCCGTTCAGTCGTGCTCGTCTGCTCCTCAACCTGGAAAAAGATAAGAAAGTATAAGTGGAATCACCTCAAAACATAATGATAATACATTCTCAGTGAGTTAAGCCTTCCTAAAATGGCAAATTACGAGAGGGATTACATACAGTTTCTTTCATCTGGATTTGGTTAATCTTTATTCTGAATAGTTTGTGCTTGAAGTCGTCATTGAAGATGATCTTGTCTCCATCTTCAATGTCTTTTCCTTTTGGAACTTTGTTCAACACACGAGCTTTCCCACAGGCTAAAGACTGCAATGTCCTTCTCAATTCACTATCCTCTAAAAGAAAGGTCAAAATACAAAAAAAACTTAGTAAACCAAAACAAGTAAGTGCACTGTCTTAGAAAGGCACTTGTTACAATAATACATAACCAATATAGCAGTTTCATTGGAAATTGAGCATACAATATACATTTGCAACATGCATTGCTCTAAAACCAATGAAGAAAAGGAAGCTATTTTGTATTTAAAGTCAGTTTTGAAATTCGAATAGCTCATGGTTGTATGATTCAACTCCATATACCTATTTTTGCTTTGCATCCTTTAATGCTTTTAGTTAACAAAAAAAAAAATCAATCAAGCTCAGAGTTAAAACTAATTCATTGAGTGTCAATTACTGCATGGGGAAGACAGACCCAAAACTCTGCCAACACATATGGAAATGTTTTCTGATTTTTATTTCCGCAAGGTCTGGCTCTGATTTTTCAACCATATGCTGTATAACTCTAGACTCTATGTCCCAGTCCAACACCAGTGGCGCTCTCAGCATGGACCACAGATCCACTAGTGGTCTACAAGCTGATCCAAAATGCAAATGAATGTCATATTTGAGGCCACGCAAGAAAACAAGCTAGAACACTCGGCTCCATCAGTCATATAACATCACACAACCAGGAACAACGTGTAATTTTTTTTTTCTGAAGAGGGGTCCAGACCCAAACGTCAGCTTTCCTGCTCCTCTGATGCTGCCTGGCCTGCTGTGTTCATCCAGCTCTACACCTTGTTATCTCAGATTCTCCAGCATCAGCAGTTCCTACTATCTCCCCTGTGTAATTTTATAACCATTTTTATTTGATTTTAAAAAAAAGTATTCGTTCTCAGAGGCAGATTGTGATGATTCTCTAATATAGAACGCTCCAGATGAGGAAAAAAAACTCAGAAGAATTGTTCATGCATGTGAATTTTGCTGGTTGGATCACCATTAATTTCCGATCCCTAATTACCCATGAGGAGGAGGAAGTGGTAAGCTGCCTTCTTGAACCGCTGCAGTCCATGTCCTGTAGGTAGACCCATTAGAGATTTCATGGATCTTGATGCAATGATACTGAAGGAATAGCGACATATTTCAAAATCAGGTTGGTGAACGGCTTAGAGGGGAACTTGAGGTGGTGGTGTTCCCCATGTATCTGTTGTCCTTGTCCTTCTAAGTGGCAGAGGTCACAGGTTTGGAAGGTCCTGTTGAAGGAGCTTTGAGTTGCTGCAGCGCATCTTGTAGATGGTACGCACTGCTGTTACCGTACATTAGTGGTGGAAGAAGTGAATATTGAAGGTGACGGACAGGATGCCAGTCGAGTGAGGTGCTTTATCCTGAACAGTGTGGAGTCTAGACTGTTGTCGGAATTACACTCACATAGGCAAATGAGGAGTGTTCCAACACATTCTTGACTTGCGCCTTGTACATGGTGGGGAGACAGGCTCTGGGGAGTCAGGTGGTGAGTTACTTGCTGCAGGATTCCTAAAGTCTGACCTGCAGCTTTTTCCTTATTCACTTGTGGGACGTGGATGTTACTGGCTGAAATTGAGAAGGTAGTGATGACCTGCCTTCTTAAACTGCAGTCCAGCTGCTGTAGGTTGATGCACAATGCCCTCAGGGAGGGAATGCCAGGATTTTGATCCAGCTCTTGAAGCTGCTGTATTTATATGACTGGTCCAATTCAGGTTCTGGTAAATAGTAACCCCCAGGATGTTGACCATGGGGGATTCATGACGGTAATGTATTAAGCAGAATTGATTAGATTCTCTCTTGTTTGATACAGGCAGTCAACATCATATGGACTTTAGTGGTTCAAGGCAGCAGCACATGACCACTTTTGAGGGTAGTAAGGGATCAGTAATACATGCTGGCCCAGCCAGCGATGCCACATCCCATGAATATATACCAAAGTTAACCTACCTCTCTACACGTTCTCCCTTTAAAATCCAGATTGCTAGATCTACACCAATTTGAACAATTTCCAGTGCACTTGTACATTTAAAATTGAACTGTCAATGCAAAGAATTTTGAATTCCTTCCATACCTATGCCGGTTGCAGTCTTGATTTCCTCCACAGAGAATTCATTTCCCTCGTTAAACATAAGCAGCACCAAAGTCTGGAACAGCGAAACCTGCAGCTCCTTTTTACCCTAGAGTGTACATTAAAGAAACACTAATTCAGAGCTTGGGATAAAGCAGGAGCAAAATAACTTCAGGCTCCAATTTTTACACAAAAAGAAAATCACAGGATGAGGGCATTGCTGGCTAGGCAGCATTTATTGCCCATCCCTAATTGCCTTGGGGGCAGTTACGAGTCAACCAAATTGCTGTGGTTCTGGAGTCACATGCAGGCCAGACCAGGTAAGGATGGCAGATTCCTTCCCAGAGGACATTAGTGAACCAGATGGGTTTTTCCGACAATTGACAATGGATTCACGGTCATCATTAGATTCTTAATTCCAGGTATTTATTGAATTCAAATTCTACCATTTGCCATGGCAGGATTTGAACCTGGGTTCCCAGAACATTATGTGGGTCACTGGATTTACAGTTCAGCGATAATACCACTAGGTCATCGCATCCTCTGATTACTGAGGATAACAGTGTCAAGCAGATAAACTGGAAGAATACACCATTGTCCCAACAGAATGGAACAAAACAGTCAACACCATAAGTGATCATATCGACAGTATGCATTATTTATATACTATGAATTGTACGCACAGAGATACTACATAGGAACCTATATATTAATGCACTATGTAATCAAATAAGTACACACAAGTTACTCCAGCAACCCAATCTACATTATACTTCATTTAAATAGTAACTGAACACAATGCCAAAGTGGTAACTTATTGTAAGCCGGTTTCATCACAAGATGAACAAAGTGACTTTGAATGAAAGAGTTTAGGATATGTCAATAAATGTACTATGCATGAGTTACATGAATAAGCTCTACAGGGAGATATAACGGAAGGAAATACTGAAAATGTGACAAAGAACAGAAACTTCAGCAAAGTTAGGTGAGGCATCTTAAGTGAGGCATCATCTTAGGAGAGAACAGAGAAATTAATATTTCAATAAAACGAAGAACTGCAGATGCTGGAAATTTGAAACAAAAACAAATTACTGGAGAAATAGTGCAGAGCTGTGGGGAGAAAGCAGAGTTAACGTTTCAGGTCTGCTGACCCTTCTTCCAAACAGAGTTAATATTTCAGGCATGGGCCTGATGATGAGAACAGTTCATGTGAAATTAGTCGCTGTCCATTTTGTTTAAAATAAAATGTATTCTCCGCCTTCATTTGAAGTCATCTTCCGACCACTTCCTCCCACTTAAGTACTTGTTTAATATACTCTTTCTCTAATGGGATGAATTCCAGAAAGGAGCTGCACTAAAGAGTGAAGTGTGAAAAATGAACAAGCAGGCTTGGAACCTGCGCAAGATTCACTTTAATAGCCACCTCAGCGACCTGCAAATGATAAGAAGGTTGGAGTAATACACAAGGAATGACAGGCCCATTTAGGCCAACATCTACTGTCACTGGAGTTACAGTGACTGAACAATTAAACAAATGGGAACTAACCAGTGCAAGTGAAAGACCGTGAGAGAGCGCGCGAGAGAAGTGATTTGTACGTCTACACTCTGCATAATGAACCTAATTTGTTTTTAAGGTAAATGATATGAATGTGTTGGCTGGGATGGTGCGAATGGATGTCATTTATGTGAACTTCCAGAAAACATTTAATAAGGCTCCAAATAGAGACTGAACTAAAACGGAATCACACCAAATTAATGGCAAATACTAAACGTGGCAGCAAGTTGCAAAGGGTATTGGTAAATAAGTGAATAGGCAAAACTTAGTCAGATAGAGTTCAATGTAAAGAGTAATTATTCTCAGTGAATCTAAAAATGATTGATAGAATATTGTTTAAAATAGCAACAGAAGTCATGGAGGATCTCAGCAAGCTAGGAGAAAGGTAGACAGACCACTAAAAGTTAGTGAATAGATAAAAGAAACACAATTAAAACAAGGCTACTGTTTGGCTGGAAAATAATGGGGTGGAGGTTATGTCCAAAGCTCTGAATAGACCAGAAATGCAGTACTGTATTCAGTTCTGACAATCACACCTTAGAAAGTTCGACTGATCCTTGAAGATGCGAAACAGAATAAACCGGGGGAGAAGGGTTAACTTGCACAGACTAGGCTTGTGTTCCATAGATCAAAAGATTCAGGAATGGTCGAATGAAGTTATTTGAGAAGATGAAAGACATTGATAGGATAAACAGGAAGAAACAATGATCATTATGTTTATAGATGTATGCAACAAGATAGATTTAAGAAACAATTCTCCATGACTAAAGCATTACCTCTTTGAATTCCGCTTTCAAAACAGAGTGCCCCAATGTTGGCTGCCATTGGAGTTTTCTGCCACTGTGCTTTCCGAGGTAAAATGTTTTAAATACCTCCTGCAATTTTATCATCTATAAAAATAGATATGTAAACATTACAATGAAGTCGAGATGTCACAGCCATTTTCACAGAACGTGGGCATTCATGCTTGTGTTGGTTGTTTGACTCAGAGCTACTCTTCCCTCATCACCCTGCACAATTAAGTATTTATCCAAGTCTCTTTGAAAGTAATTATCAAATCTGCTTCCACTGCCTTTTAGGTTGCACATTCCAGATCGTAATCACTGGTTATTGAATCCGCTGCTAAGTTGTTACTATGTTTAAAAGGTGGATTACGGTCGTCAGAGACTGACTCGAATTTTCAAGTTAGTTTTTAGGCCTCCTTTAATATTTGGGACACAGCTCCCAGTAGCAGACCACAGGACACAGTACTCCAGGAGAATCTGGATGTCCCGTTCCTGCACAGACATAGCCAGCCAGTGTCCCCCTCCACACTGATGATCCTGCTATGCCTCACAGTCATCTGCCCTTATTCCTTTGTTTCCAAATGATTCCCTATCCTTTTCCTCCTCCTTGAGATTGACAATAAAAGCCAATGGCTCAAGTGTGGGAAACAGAAGACGTTTGAAATTACATGGGGGAAAAGAAAATAAAAACAATAACTGGGTTCCTGACCAGTGTAGGACTTGGAAATAAGGCCTGATCCAGGTGTGGGTCCAGAAATGCCAACGACAGCCATATTAAACTATATTCCACTCTCCAACACTCTTCCCAGGTAGATATTCTTGAAACATAGGGGCTTGCTCAGGAGTTTTTGAGATTGAGTTTTCAATACCAGTCAAAATGTTAAGTGTGAGCAAAGACATTGACTTGGGACAGAAACGAGAAGAGTGATCACAGATTATAAAAGGCAAGAAACTGAACTGTAATACTTTCTTTCCCTTCATTAGTATCTCAGCCTGGTTCAACAGGACGAATTACACACTGACCTGTTTCACCCCAACCTTTCTTTCTGTAAAACAATGACTCACCCCTCGAAGGCACTCCCCCACTTCAAACAAACATATCAATTCGTAGGAGGAGTGGGGCACTATTTTCTATTATCCACTATACAGCAAGGTCATCACTGATTGGATTGGGACCTCAACTGATCATCTCATCTACCAGACCAACTGCAATATGTCCCCTCTCCCCACCCACCCCACTCAATAGGTTTGTTCATCAAGAATCTGTCTTTGTCTTAAAAAATACTCAATGACCTGATCCATTGGTCTCTGGGGGAGACAATTCGACAGACTAAAACACCCTCAGAGGATGCTGCTCTCATTTTCATCTTAAGTGGAAGGCTGATATTTTAAAATTCTAGTCTCCCACAAGGGAAACATCATCCCTGTCAAGTTCCCTCAGGATCAATAAGATCCTGTCTCATTCTTCTAAGCTCAGATAGATAAAGGTTTAATCTTTCCTCATACCCTCTCCGTTATAGGAATCAGTAAGTCATAGAATCCCTACAGCGTGGAAGCAGGCCATTCAGCCCATCGAGTCCACACTGACCCTCCAACGAGCATCCTACCCAGACCCACCCCTTACCCTATCCCTCTAACCCTGTACCTCCTATGGCTAACCCACACTGTCCAGGGATGTGCAGGCTATGGGCAATTTAGCATGGCCAATCCAACTAACCTGCGTATCTTTGGACTGTGGGAGAATCTGGAGCACCTGCAGGAAACCTACACAGACACGGGGAGAATGTGCAAACTCCACACAGACAGACAGTCACCTGAGGGTGGTATCTATCCCAGGTCCATGGCACTGTGAGGCAGCAGTGCTAACCACTGAGCCACCACACCGCCCAGTTAGTTAAAACTGCTTAAGTGAAACGGATTTCTCAGCTTGTTCCCAATTTGCTTGCGGATTCCTTTAAAGCTGAACATCTTTGCTCTGGTGCTGCTCACAAAATGCGGGCAAATATTTGGAAAGATTTCATGAGTAGAGCTATTTCTCTCTGTTTCTGATGAACTGGTGTGCGGAAAACACTGTACACGAAGGGAATTTTTCTCAAATAAACAATTCTTTTAGAATATGAGAATACTGTAGCATATGTCTAAAAACTTGTTAAAGAAATAGTTTCCAAGGAGGTTCAGGGAGAAAGAGGGAGAGGTAGAGGTTTGAGTTATAAAGAGAGGCTGGGACTTGTTTTACTGGAGTGTAGGACTTTGAAGGGTGACCTTATAGAGGTTTATAAAATCATGAGGGGTATAGGTACAGTGAATGGCAGGTGTCTTTTCCCTAAGGTGGGGGATTTCAAGACTAGGGGACATATTTTTAAGGTGAGAGAAGAAAGATTAAAAAAAATACATGAGGGGCAACTGTTTTATATAGAGAGTAGTTCATGCATGGAACGAACTTTTAGAGGAAGTAATGGATGAGAGTACAGTTACAACATTTAAAAGACATTTAGATAAATACATGAATAACATATGTTTGGAGGGGATATGGGCCACGTGCAGGCAGTGGGACTAATTTAGTTTAGGGTTATGGTTGGCATGGCCTGATTGGACCAAAGGGTCTGTTTCCACGCTCTATGACTGTATAAATTGTAGAGGATGGCGAAGGTACTATATTTCAGATTCTAAAATCCAAATCAATTTTGTTCATACTGAATAACAGTAGTGCCAGCTGAGTTGTGGAACAACACAAATGGTTTTACAAATTTTAGGGAAGCTTAGCTCATTCAGCTGTGGATTTTGTAATATGTTGTAGATGCCAGTATTACACTTACCTCAGCAGGCAAATGTATTTCCATGGGTGTGTACGTTGGCCAGTATCCCATTGTCAGAATGTTGACTGTCAGATCTATCTTGCTTGGATCACTCTGGTTTTGGATGTACTGAAATGGCAGAAGAAAATTCGCACATTAGGAAGAACATGGCATGGATGTCAAGGCAGAAATTACAGACTTTTTCAGAAGTAGAAGATAAAACTGATGCTTAGAAAATTAAACGGAGAAACAGGATTGATCGTCAAACCTGATGCTGGTATGCGAATTTTACTATGGGACCCTCGCTCCTTTAAGTACAGACTGGCTTTGGCCTTGCTGAGGAACATAAACTCTGCTACAAATTCACCACGAGAAATGTTTGCAGAACCAGAGTTTGGCTGCAGTTTACCTTTAAAGAGTAACTTGGCACAATTTTCAAGCACCAAAAAGAGAAGATACAGTAAAGTCACGCTGCAGTGTCTAAAATCACCAATAATTCCTTGGACTTTCTGAGCTAATTAATATATTCATTAGCAACAGATGTTACTACATCAAGAACTAAGCTCTTGAAATTTAGATGCCTTACTAGCTTTCCCCAAAACTGTGATGCAAAATGCACTGAAACCTTGGCTTTGCTTATTCAACCAGAAACAGGGAAAGTGTGCAGCCTGGGGAAAGGAGATGACTAAACCTTCGGATCACATGCACCCTGAAAACGCCCTTTGTAGAGAGAAATGCAGAAATTGACTTCCCATTATCAATGCCCGGCAAACCATAGCAAAACACTTGTTAGTTTGGGATTGTCACCAGATGGATGTTGAGCCAAGAGCATTAGGTGTGGCCTGAAGGTTACCACCTCATTTGAGCTGTGTCCTACCAGAGGGAATGAGAAGAAGCCTACTCCTGTTTGTCAATCGCCTTTGCCTTAGGTCAGAAGTGTTCCAGGAAGATTTGAATGTGAACAAAGCAGCTTTGGTCAGCAAGTTTGTAGATAACACTGAAATTAGAGGTGTAGTGGACAATGAGGAAGGTTACCTCAGAATACAACAGGATCTTGATCAGATGGGCCAATAGGTTGAGGAACGGCAGATGGAGTTTAAGCTAGATAAAGTTGAGATGCTGCATCTCAGAAAGGCAAATCAGGGCAGGACTTAAACACTTAACGGTAAGGTTCTGGGGAGTGTTGCTGAGCAAAGAGACCTTGGAGTTCAGGTTCGTAGTTCCTTGAAAGTGGAGCCCCAGGTAGACAGGATAGTGAAGGCGGTGTTTGGTATGCATTGAGTATAGGAGTTGGGAGGTCATGTTGCGGCTGTACGGGACATTGGTTAGGCCATTTTTGGAATACTGTGTTCAATTCCGGTATCCCTGCTATAGCATGGATGTTGTAAAACTTGAAAGGGTTCAGAAAAGATTCACAAGAACGTTGCCAGGGTTGCAGGGTTTCAGCTATAGGGAGAGACTGATTAGACATTAGGCTATTTTCCCTGGAGTGTCAGAGGCTGAGGGGGTGACCTTACAGGAGGTTTATAAAATCATGAGGGGCATGGACAGGGTGAATAGCCAAGGTCTCTTCCCTGGGGTGGGGGAGTCCAAAACTAGAGGGTACGGGTTTAAGGTGAGAGCGGAAATATTTAAAAGGGATCTTTTAAAATTTAAAAGGCATTTGGATGGCTAAATGAATAGGATGGGTTTACAGGGATATGGGCCAAATGCTGGCAAATGGGACTAGATTGATTTAGGATAGCTGTTTGACATGGTCGCGTTGGACTGAAGGGTCTGTTTCCATGCTGTACAGCTCTATGACTCTTTGACTGGTCCTATTCTTATCCTTTCGTACTGAAACTGGGGAATAAACCAGGAAGCAATTTAGCACATGGGCCGAATGACCTCCATCTGGATTGTAACACGTCTGTGATTCAATTATACTGGAAATGTAAGGAAGAGTGATCACAACACCATCAGATTTAGGTCAGCTTTGTAAGAGACTAAGGAAAATCAACAAAAGCTTACAGTCAACCTAACACCAGAAATAGGAAAACAAAAATGGAATCTTTGCTGAAGGAGAGAATGGAAGAACACTTAGAAATGAGGAATATTATAGCGAATAGCCCAACATAGAATTCAAAAGGAAAACTCTTGCTCCCTTGAGGCAGTAAGGTAGAGAGTACACAATGGCAATGCAGGTGATGCAATTTATCTGGATTTTCAAAAGCCTCCAGTAAGCTGCCTCACAGCAGAATAATCAATAAAGTTAGACAATGTGGAGCTAGGAAACAAGTGACTGAATGGATTGCCAGTCTTCAATAAAGATAATGGAAAGTGAGAACAAAGGTTAGCTATTCAGAGTGGCAGAAGGTGGGAAGTGGTATAAATTGGGGAAATAATTGGCCAATGAAGTTCAACACAGATAGATGTGACGTGGTACATTTGGTAAGGTGACTGTGGAGGCAACTTATTACTTGCAGGACGTATGGCCTAGGCAAGGAGACTAGAACAATAGATGGTTCTCAGAATATAAGAAACATAATAATCATTGAAAGTTGTGCCACTGCTTAACAAGGCCATAAATACAAGGAAACCAAACACAGATTTATTTCTACAGACAGAATTGAAAAGTAGGGAAATTGTGCTATACCCATATGGAACCTTGGTTAGACCACACTTAGTATTGTGTGCAGTTCTGGTCACTATATTATACATAGATGTATAGGAGAGGGTATGGAGAACATTTACAAGGATGATACCAGAAATGTGCGGGCCTACAAATCAGGAAAGTGTTAACAGCTGGGTCTGCTTTGTGATGGCAGGAATCTCAAGTAGAGCAGAAACACCTGTATGGACTATTTAGGCTGAGTGGCTTGTTTCTGCTTCTATCCCCTGAAATCTCGAGTAAACTAGTGTAAGAATACTTTATCGAAGGAGAGTCAATTCAGTTGTGAGAAGATAGATCTGGCTCAGGAAGACTGCAATCAAAGATTTGCAAACAAAGCTATAAATGCAATAACAGGCTGCCTTTAAAGAGGACATGGTCTGATAAAAACAAGGTAGGACAAACAAATTCAGGACTTCCTAGATAATGACAGAGACAGCCTGCTAGGTAAAGTGGCAAAAGGGTGTGAGATGTCATGTTGATAATAGCAATAAGAGGGATGAATATAGAAACTTCAGAAGGAACTTGGAAAAAGAAACAACATATGCAGACAGAATACGATAAGAGACTGGCAGCTAACATGAAAGGGAATCCTGAACAGTTCTCTAAACATATAAATAGTAAAAGGTTGGTGAGAAGGTGGCATCGGACTGATTAACGACCCAAAGGAAGCTTATGCATGGAAACAAAGACTGTGGCAAGGTACTACATGAGTATCTGCATCTGTCTTTAACACAGAAAATGCTGCTGTCAAAGTCAGAATGAAGGAGGAGGTCATTAAGACATTACATGGGCTACTACTGGATAAAGAAGAGGCATTCAAAAAGCTTCAAGTTATTAAGTGACCAGGACCAGATGGATCATCAATGAATCATAGGGAAGTAAGACAGGGAGGCAGTGACCATAACCGTCCAACCCTTCTCAGATACAGCAGTGACGCCAGACAACTTGGAAATTATGTTATACCTTTTTTTCAAATAATAGCCCAGTAACAACAGGCCAGTTGGTTTAGTTATTTATAGAATCCCTACAGTGTGGAAACAGGCCCTTTGGCCCAACAAATCCACACCAACCCTCAGAGCATCCCAACCAGATCCATTCCCCTATAACCCACCTAATTTACACATCCCTGAACACTACAGGCAATTTAGCATGGCCAATCCACCTAGCCTGCATATCTTTCGACTGTGGGAGAAAAGCGGAGCACCCGGAGAAACCTGCATGGACACGGGGAGAATGTGCAAACTCCACACAGACAGTCGCACCAAGGTTGGAATTGAACCCAGGTCCCTGGTGCTGTGAGGCAGCAGTATTAACCACTGAGCCACCATGTTACCCAGTGGTGAGAAAGCTTTTAGAAATAATAATCCAAGTCAAAGTTAACAGTCACCTGAGAAGCCAGAACAGCTTTGTCATGTATAAATTGTGTTAAACAGTTTGACTGAGCTTTATGATGAAGAGAGAAGCCCAAAGAGATTAATGTGGCTGATGTAGCGTACACAAACCTTGCAAAAATATTTTATTAAAGCCCATGGAATAAAGGAGACAGTGACAGCATGATTATTAAGTTGCTGAGCGATAGAAAACAGAATTGTGGTGAACGGTTACTTATCAGATCTGACAAAGATACAGAGCAGGGTTTCCCCAAGGGCCAGGCACAATTTCAAACTTTGTGCCTGACTGAAGTTTAAGCACTGTGAACTGAGAGGAGGATAGTGCTAAACTTCAAGAGGACACAGACAAGCTGGGTGAATGTGCAGACATATAGCAGATGAGATGCCTGAAGTGACACATTTTGGTAGGAAGAACAAGCAGACAAAATATTAAAATGAAGGTTACACTATAAAGGGAGTACAAGAATAGAGACACCCCGGGAATGTGTGTACAAATTACAGGAGGTATTGGAAAATGGTCAATAAAGTGATATGGGATCCTTAGCTTTATGATTTAAGCTAGAAAAACAAGGAAGTTATGATAAATTTTATGCTTGGCTTCAACTGCAACATTGAATCCACATCTGGGCACCAGACTTTGTGAAGGATATGAAAGTTTTAGACAACATGCAGTAAAGATTCACAAGAATGGTTCCAGGGATGAGGAACATCAGTCACGATGATAGACCAGGAGGAGTTGAGGTGTTCTTGGAAGAGAGTAGATGATTTGTTTGAGGTGTTTGAAATTACGAGGGGCAGGGACTGAGTACTTTGGCCGATACTGTTCCTGTTGGTGTAAGGATGGGGAACCAGAGGACGCCAACACAAGGCGAGTGGCTAGAGAAGCTATAGGCAATGTAGTTGATGAAAAACAATTTTAATGCAGTAACAAGATAGCACTGAAATGCACTACCTGTGATTGTGGTGGAGGCAGGTTTCATTAAGGCTTTCCCAAGGGACAAGTACCTGAAAAGGTTTGCAGAGGAAAAAGGCTACAGAGTAGCAACAGCTGATTTTCTGTTGCGGACTAAGGGGGTGAGCAGGACAGACATAGATGTGTCAGGCTGAATGACCTTCTGTAGAGCCAGAACGTTTCTACGATTTGAATTGTCCAGGTGGAGACCATGACCCTGCTCATCCTCTCCCAATGTGCCTGGCCACCAGTTTGTGGAAAATGAGTCAATGAGGAAGAATTTATTTTCTGAATTATAAATTCACTGTCCAATTCAGTCTGGATTAGTTCAGTTTGATAGTAAATGCGCTTGAAATATAGAAAGCACACAACTGAAGATTGTATTAATGCCACCCAGATCAGTCCTACCCAAATTGAAAGCAGTATAGTAAACCTCCAGTCACCGTGCCCTCCATTAACCAGAAATACTCTACAGAACCGAATTTCTGACAGCTTGATTTTTTTAAACAAGTCAGTCATACAGCACAGAAACAGACCCTTCAGTCCAACCAGTCCATGCCGATCGTAATCCCAAACTAAACTAGTCCCACCTGCCTGCACTTGGCCCATATCCCTCCAAACATTTCTTATTCTTTCCACACATGAACCACTCTCTGTTTAAACAAAAATGCCCCTCCTGTCTTTTTTAAAATCTTTCTCTTCGCACCTTAAAAATATGCCTCCTAGTCTTGAAATCCCCCAGTCTAGGGAAAAGACACCTACCATTAACCCTATCTGTATCCATGATTTTATAAACCTCAATAAGGTTACCTCTCAACCTCCTACGCTCTAGTGAAAATAGTCCCAGTCTATTCAGCCTCTGCATAAAATGCAAACCCTCTGTTCCACACTTTAAACGTTCAGATTAGGAGTATTTAAATAATAATAATAATAGTAATAACAACAGCTCCTCATCCTGTCTCCATTTGCCCCCAGTGTTCTGCACAATCATGCTCCCTCAGTGCCCTCACAGTATTTCAGCACTCCTGTATTGTTTATGGTGCTTTAGCAAACATGTCATCACAAGTTCATCGAAAAATCATAACCCTCAACTAATCAGCACTTTTGATTAAACACCACCACCTACTACCTGGGCAGATACGGAAGATTTTGCTCTACATTTTCTCATCCTTGGCTCGATCGTTGATTATGCTGAATCCTGTGATACCAGTGGGTTCCTGCAGTTTGTTGACTGTACTGAATTAACTAGTCTCTGCCTGACTGAATCAAACAGAGCTCCTGGGCCATGAAAAGACTGGAGAGGGGAGGCCGATTTCTGCTGGCCAGTGAGCACACACTGGGAACCAGGAGGAAGAGTGATTCAGTGCGGCTTTCATGTCACCCAAGATTAATCTTCCCCCTTGAAGTTCATGCTTATGGCTTTTGAAGCCAGCTGTAGTCATACAACGGGCACAGAAGAGAGCTCCAGACAGGTGACAGACAACAGGGGAGGAAAGTCACTTTTTGTAAGGATGAGGAGGGAACAGAAAAGGGGACAAAGAAGGTATGCAAAGATAGAGAGAACAGATAAAAGGAAATGTAGGTTATAGAAAATAGGGAGGTAGGTTTTAGAGGAGAGATCAGGCCATTCAGTCCATCAAACCCACTCCATCATTCAATATGATTATGGCTGTCCCTTTTCTTGCCATACCCTTTGATCCTTTTAGCTCTAAGAACTATATCTAACTTTTTTATGAAAATATTCTATGTTTTGGCTTCAACTGCTTCCTGTAGCAGAGAATTCCACAGACTCACCGTTCTCTGGGTGAAGAAATGTTTCATCTCAGTCGTCGATAATCTCTCTTGCATAGCATCCCTACAGCATGGAAGCAGGCCATTTGGCCCATCGGGTCCACATCAACCCACCCCATCCCTTTGACTCTGCATTTTCTATGGCTAACCCACCCAACCTACACATCCCTGGACACTACGGGCAATTTAGCATGGCCAATCCACCTCACCTACACATCTTTGGACTGCAGGAGGAAACCAGAGAACCCGGAGGAAACCCACACAGATACAGGGAGAATGTGCAAACTCCACACAGTCACCCAAGGGTGGAATGGAACCCAGGTCCCTGGCACTGTGAGGCAGTAGTGCTAACCACTGAGTCACTGTGCTGCCCTTTAGACTGTGTATCTTAAGACTGTGACCTTTGGCTCTGGACTCCCTAGTCATTCGGAACATCCTTCCTGTAATTACCCTGGGTGGTCCAGTTAGAATTTTATAGGTTTCCATGAGATCACCTCATTCTTCTAAACTCCTGTGAATATAGCCCTAACCGACCCAGTCTCTCTTTACATCTGCCCTGCCATCCCAGGGATCAGTCTGCTAAACCTTTGTGGCACACCTCCCATTGCCAGAACATCCTTCCTCAAGGAAGGAGACCAAAACTGCACATAATACACTGGGGGTGGTCTTACCAACGTCCTGTACCATTGCAGCAAGACATCCCTGCTCCTGGACTTGCATCCTCTTGCTGTGAAGCCAACAAACCATTTACCTCCATTGGCTGTTGCACCTACACGATCACTTTCAGCGACAGCTATCTAAGGATATCCAGGTCTCGTTGTCCCTCCCCCTTCTCCAATCTATCCCCATTCACAAGCTTTGGATGAAGGGTTGGGAGAAGAGAAGCAAAAAAGTACAAGCCGCCGGCAAGAATACCTGCTTAAATTGGACCATAATATCTTTTGAGAGCTCCATGTCCTTGAACATTCCCTCCAATTTGCTGGTGAAGGCAGCACCACATTCTACAGGAACAAAACAGGAAATGGTCAGAGCTCCAGACATCTCTAACTGCACAGAAATGGTTACTGAGAAGAGGACGAGACCACCCTAGAGTTATGCAGGAGCTGTGCTGACGTACCATGCTTCAGTTTGGACAGCATCGACTTCTCAGCATCAACAGAAGCACTTTTCCCTACCAGGAGACGTTTTGCTAAGTCTTTCTTATAGAAGGCCTCAAATACGTCCTTACCTATTGGAAAGGAAGTAAATATTAGTACCCAGATTAATTTACATTAAATGAAAATCAACTTGAATCTGGGACACAGCATAATTCAACATTAAGGCAAAATAAGTCGAGGTAAACATGGGATGTCCATCGCCTCAGTGGAAGTCCTGCCCTCAGAGCTACCAGTTGAACTGGTAGTCTAGCAGTTCCACAACAAGTACCATCCTCACCAAAGACAACGACATGGAGCCTGGAGGGAGGCATGTCAAGGGCACTGATGGGAATGGGGCATCAGGCAGGGGAGAAACAAAAGACAAAGATCTATGGGGGATGCTCCTGACGTGTGCAGGACAGCCCCATCTCAAATAATCTGCCCCCGCACAACCTTTCTTCCTACCTTTTCAACAAAGTTATAAAAACAAAACAGCCTGTCCACTTTCACCCGCCATCCACCACCCAGTATTGCAATAACTGGCCACTTAAGGCCCTTGATAGGCATGGAGTGTGGGTGGATACTGTACCAAGCACCTCACATTATGGGGAATGGGATCAAGGTGAGCAGGGAAGCCAGGAGGTAGCCACATATCATATTTCACATGTCTGCCCTCAACAACAAGCTCATCAAAACTATAGAGGCGAACTTTGTTACGCCTTCATGAAATCTAACTGAAACTCATGAAGCAAGAATGGTGCTGATTAGAATCCAACTCTATTCCATCTTGGTGATTTGTCAGAGAGAGATTATCATGCCAGCCTCGTGCCCCAGCTATCCACTCACTTTATGAATGATCAACATCTCTTTAAAAATAATGCAGCATCTAGTGCCAACAGGTTTGATCTTACAAGATTATGTAAAACTCAGCTCTTCTGATGACCCCTTCCACTCTGTTCTCCAAAGTACCAGTAAACTCTGTGCATTCAAACTCCACAATCACTGGTAGTTAAGTCCTCACTTTGTAAAGTTGCATAGACACTGGATTTACATTGTTGCAAAAATACTCGAGGTATCCATCCAGAAGTTGGGTGCTGACAAGTTGTTCGCCCACCCAGGATGTCTCCCAATGAGACTTGACTCTATCTGCCTGTACCTTCTTTTATATTCTTTTATGGGATGAGACATTACTTATTGCGCAGAGGACTGCAAGGGTGAGCCACATTGTCGTGGATTTAGACTCGTATGTAGGCTGGACAGGGTAACAACGTCTGATGTCCCCAGAACATCTGGATTACAGATACACTAGGTCACTGCCACCCCTAAGCTCTCAGGCATCTCAAAAAGAAGCCACGAGGTGGTGATTAGAGGCAGAAACTACCTATGAGTGCAAGGGCTCAATAACCACTGTGCCTAGATAGCACTGATATTGCTGACACTGAAAACACTGACATTTGAAACCTTTTACTTCAACAGTATTGCAAACAAATAGTTTCTTATTAAGAAAATAGAAAAAAAAAAACTGAACTGATTCACTTGATCATTGAGGCTTTTGCTGGAGCCCAGTTGTTCAATTACTATATTGGCTGAGGCAATTGTTATCCAAGAGAGAAGTAATTTTGAGGTCCACAAAAACAAACCGATTGCATTATAAACAGGAATGACAAACCAGCTGTAAATCAGAGAGAAGATCTCACCATGAATAAATCTAAATATGATCATGATTTTATCCAGCATTCTTTCCAGTTCCTCATCTGTGGCCTCTTTGTTTCCAGCTCGCAATTTTGAATCCACATACTTGGCTATAAACAAATGAAATCATATATCAGTGATGATTCACTCTGAAAAGTCTCATTGTGCACAGAAACCTTATGCTACCAATTTGCCAGTTAATTAACAAATTTTTTTAAAAAGTCAGAGAAATTTTTAATATTAAAGTGGAGAAAAGGGCAGAATAATAGGATTAAGTAGACGGCTCTTTGAAGAGCTTGTAAAAGACAGATGGGACGAATGGCTTCCTTTCACAATATAAAAATACTAAAGCCACTCAGGAAGCGAGGCTCATTGGCCAAAACAACAGCTTAAGAGGAGATTTTTAACAGTGGAAAAAGGGGAACTAGAAAATCAGAATAAAAGAAAATAGGGAATCCAACAAATTTGCACCCTGGCGATGCCTTAATAAAGGATTCTAGCATTTTCTCGATAACAGATGTTAAGACTAACTGGCCTACAGCTTTCTGTCTGTCTCCTTTTTTTGAGTAGAGATGTTACGTTGTTACAATCCAACGGGACCTTTCTAGAATCTAGGGTTTGGAAGATTACAACTAATGCACCTACATCCTTGGTCTCATGATACAGAGCATCAGGGACCAGGGAACTTGTCAGCCTTTAGTCCCAATGGTTTTCCTAGTAATTTTTCATTCGTGATTGTTATCATATCAAATTCTTCTGTCCCTTTTGTCTCTTTTACTTTCCAAAATCCTTGGGATGCTTTTGGTGACTTCTGTGTAGGCAGGTATAGAATTCTTCTGTAATTTTTGTTCCCACATCCCATGAATGAACCAATAAAATGCCCAATCTCACTTTTTAAGCAACCAACATTCTCTTTGCCTTTTCATATAATTGTAGAAACTCTATCTTCACATTTCTATCTAGCTTTCTTTCACACTCTAAATTTCTCTCTCATTACTTCTGTAGTCATTTGCTGGTTTTTAAAATTTATCCAATTTTCTTTTCTGCCTCTCATCTTTGCAGTATTGTATTCATTTTCTTTCAACTTGATACTCAATGTGGTTGACTAGGAACGGGAAATCATTTCCAGCCTCGCCAGTGATGGCCACGTCCAGGGAATGAATAATGAATGAAACCAGTAGGGGACGGAAACTGGCAAGGCAGTAGCGTTAGCCAAGATGCTGGATTGTGAAAGGTGGAACACATTATTGCACAATGTTTTTATTAATAGCACTTCTGGAAGGGCCAAATCATTACTGGCAATCTATACTATAGAAACAAATTTTTTACACATGTAAATGTAAGTTTTATGAACAGTATTATAGAAGTATCTGTGGTGATATTGGGAACTCCTGCAACAGTTTAAAATTCATCGCCATAGTTATTAAATACAAGAGATTAGCCTTACCTATCAGCTCAGCAGGCTTGTTGGGTCTCTTATTTATAAAAGTCTCAAAAGCTTCCTTCATTGTATTGACGAATTTTTCATTTTTAAGAAAGCACACTTCAATGACACGGTCGATTTTATCTTTGAAGTCTAGCAGCTCCTCAACCATCGTCTTGTCCTTCTCTGGATTAACCACAATCATACTGCCAAAGGTCTGCAAAGTAAATATCATTTCATACAAATTCTGAGGCTCTGTGTTTGGATAGACATATTACATGTGAGGACATGTGCTGAATTCATTCTCTAAACGGTATACAAATTCCTACAGTCTAGTAGTATGGAGGCGTCTTCTTAAACATTATCATTTGTCTGAAGAGTTAATGTGCCATTAACTAGGTGGGGACTGCTGTCTCTCTGAACCTTCAAGCATGTATACGAGGAGACTGTACAAATTCTAACTGTATCAAAGTCTTCTGCATTCTAAAAAGTGGTTCACTCAAGAGAAAAAGAAAATCACCATGTTTCCACAAATAAAGCCTTGTATTTATGCAGTGTTTAAAACAGAGTGAAAAGCCTCAAAGTGGCTCATGGGAGCATCGACATGGCTTGACATCAAGTCATGACAGCAGATGGCCAAAAACTTGGTCAGAGGTAGGTTTTGAAGAAGCACCATAAAGAAGAAAAGGGAGCTAGAAGAGAAGGTGCAAAGGGAATGGTGCAGCTTAGTGTCTAGGCAGCTGGAGGCAGACAGTGGTCAGCCTGCATGCTCCCTCTCCTCAAGGGAGGCAGAAACATTTCTGCTAAACTTCCAGCTGAGTAACTGAGAGGGTGCAGGATGCCCCGAGTAAGCAAAGTGAAGTAAAGCACAAAAGTAAAATGAAAGAAAGCAAAGTCTGTATTATCGTTAACCTTTAGATGAAGGAAGCAATGGAGAGACCCACTACAACATGATTATGATCAGATGCGGCATGTTGGAGAGGTATGCACTTTGAACAATCATAGCTAATCAGGAAATCATTCTCCAGGGTTTCACTCCTGCTTTTAAACACTGATCTCAGGGTCAGAGATATACAGTACAGTAAAAAGCCCTTTGGCTCAGCTCATTCAAACAACTACCAAACTATTACAATCCCATTTTTCAGCACAGAGTTCGTAGCCTTGTATACCTTGGCATCTCAATTGCACATCTTAATGATACTTAAATGCTATGAGGGTTTTTGCCTCTCTCACCCTTATAGGCAGTAAGTTCCAGATTCCCCTCTGGGTGAAAAAGATTTCTTCACATCTCTTAAACCTTCTAATTATGCCCCCGGTAATTCATCTCTCTACAGAGGGAAAAAAGTTTCTCCCTGTCTCTCGTATGCTTCTCATAATTTTATACATCTAAATCATGTCCCCTCTTGATCTCCTCTGCTCTAAGCAAAACAACCCCATTCTGTCTAATCTCTCTTCATAACAAACTCTCCACACCAGGCAACATCCTGGTAAATCTCCTCTGCATTCACTCCAGTGCCATCACATTCCTCCCATAATGTAGATTCCAGAACAGCACACAATACGCTAGCTGTAGCCTAACCAACATTTTATATAGTTCCAGCAGAAACCCCCTGATCTTAACTGTAAGCCTCACCTAAAGGCAAGTATACCATGTAGCTTCTTCACCACTTTATCCACTTCTGCTGATACCTCAAGGGATTGGTGGACTTGCACACCATGATTCCTCTGATCCTCAGTGTTTCCCAGGGACCATGATTCCTCTGATCCTCAGTGTTTCCCAGGGTACTATTGTTCATCATGCATTCCCTTGCCTGGTTTGTCCTGCCCAAGGGCATCACTTCATATATATCTAGACTGAATTCCATTTGTCACTGATTGGCCAATCTGACCAACCCATCTATATCATCCTGTAATCTAAGACTATCCTTTTCAATATTCATCACTCCATCAATTTTCATATCAATGAACTTATTGATCAACTCTCCTACATTCAAGTCTAAATCCTTTATATAAAAGCACAAACAGCAAGAGCCCCAGTACTGACCCCTGTTGGACTCCACTGGACACAGGCTTCTAGTCAGAAGAAGACTCCTCAACCATCACCCTCTGCTTCCTGTCACTCAGTGAATTCTGGTTCCAATTTGCCAAATTTCCTTGGACCCCACTGGCTCTTCCCTTTGCTATCAGCCTCCAATGCAGGATCTTATCAAAAGCCCATCTAAAATCCAAGCTGACTACATCAAAAGCACTGCCCTCATCTACACACCTGGCCACCTCTTGCACAAATTGAATCAAGTTGGTCAGACATGACCTTCCCTTAACAAAACCATGCTGACTCTTTCTGATTAATCCCTGACTGTCCACATCCAAATTAATTCTTTCTTGCAGAATTGCTTCCAATAGATTCTCCACCACCGGGATTAGACTAAGTGGCCTGTAATTTAATGATTTATCACTTGCTGTCTTCTTGAATAATAGCACCACACTGGCTACCCTCCAATCTTCTGTGGTCAGTGAGGAATTGAAAACTTTTGCAACCACCCCTGCTATTACAAAACAGTGACTTTGAAACTAGAATGACTGTGTCAAGTGCACCAATATTTTGTTGTGTAAAAGTCCAGAACTCTCCAGGTTACCTGGGCTGGGGGTACTTTATATATTTTGATTATGTAACCGAGTATGGAGATAACACAATTTATACATATCCAAATGTGGCTGGTTTCCATAAATAAGGGCAATTAAAAAGGAATGAGGTCAGAGCTGGCTAGAGTGGAGTGTGAAAGGGATTTAGCAGTAAAGACAGTTGACAAATAATGGCAGACATTTAAGAAAATAGCTCATGGCTCAGAGCAAAGGCATATTCTAGTGAGGAAGGAGGATTCTGGGATGGAGATAAGCCAACCATGGTTAACCAGGAAAGTTAAAGATAGCATCCAATTGATAAAAGAAAAACATACAATATGGCAAAGATTAGTGGTAGGCCAGAAGATTGAGTTTAAAAACCAACAAAAGATAACTAAAGAAAAAATATAAATTTAGAAGGTAAACTTGCAAGTAATATCAAGGCAGATAACAAGAGAATTTAAAAGAAAAATATATAAAAAGGTACAGACCAGCCGTCTCTGGTAAAGAATTCCACAGGTTCACTACCCTCCAAGCAAAGAAATTCCTTCTCATCTCTAACTGGGTGGCTCCTACTGGGAGATTGTGGCCTCTGGTCCTAGACTCTCCCTCAAGGAGAAATAATCTCTCCATGTCTACACTGTCAAGTCCCCTAAAAGTTCCTATTAATTTCCCTAGTACTTTTTGTCTTGTGATAGTTATTGCATTTATTTCTTCTCCGTCTCCTCTTTATTATTTAGAATTGTTGGAATGCTGTTGGTGTCTTGCAATGTGAAGATGATGCAAAGTATTTATTCAATTCCTGTGCCATTTCCTTATGAACGTAGGCTCCTTGGAGACTAATGCCAGGGAAATACTAATAAGAAAACAGGAAATGATGGTGGGAGGAACTTTTAGGATGGCAACCTGTAACTAATGGTGTGCCAATGGGATCTGTGCTAGGGCCACAAATATTTACACTGTATATATAATATCTCCGAAGAGGAAAGTGAACGTACATTGCCAAGTTTATGGAACACAAAATTTGGTGGGAAGGCGAATGGTGAGAATGATATAGAGTCTACCGAGGGATATGGTAGGATTAAGCGAGTGGCCAAAACGTGGTAGATGGAATAAAAGTTGGTAAAATGTGAGGTTATGCTCTTTTGCAGGAAGATTAAAGGAGCTGTAAATTATTTAAGTGGGGAAAGATGCAGAAAGCTACAGCAGAGGGATTTCAGAAGTGTTGTGCATAAGTCACAAAAACTTAGCATCCAAGTTCAGTGGGTAGTAGTGAAGGCAAATGGAATGTTAGACTTTATTTCAAAAGGAATGGAATATAAAAATATAGAGGTCTTGCTAAAACTATGCAAGGATAAGTCAGACTACAGCTGGAATAGTATGAACAGTTTTGGTCCCCATATCTAAGGAAAGATACACTAGCATTGGAGGCAGTCCAGAGAAGGTTCACCAGGCTGATCCCAGGTATGGAGGGATTATCTTATGAACAGTGGTTGAGATGGAGAGATGACCTTATTGAAATTCACAAGCCGGGGAAATAACGAGGAACCAGGAAACAGCACAGGGATTGAATAAATACTTTGCACAGAAGATGCAAATAGCATTCCAAAAATACAAGTCAAGAACCAGGCGCCACAATCTAAGGGCCACCCAGTTAGGGCAGAGATGAGAAACAATTTCTTCACTCAGAGGCTAGTGAATCTGTGTACTTATTTACCTCAAAGGGCATTTGAGGCAGTGTTAAGTATGTTCAAGGCTGAGATAGATTTTTTTAATTAGTAAGGGAATCAAGGATTACAGGGAAAAGGCAGGAAACTGCAGATTCTATGAGGTGAATGGCCTATTTCTGCTCCTATATCTTATGGTCTAAAAGGATTAGCTCAGACAATATTTTGAAGAATTACCTTGATATATTCATTCCAATGTTGCAGGAGAGCCTGCAGACCACCTTTAACTCTGCTGAGTAGTTGGTAGAGAAGAGCGAGGTCCACTATTCTGTTTTCATCGAGTAGTTGATTGAGGCCTGCAACAACCACCAGCTATGATGCAATGTCAAATCACTATTCCCAACAACAGCCATTTAGAAAGCACTGTAAATCTGAGCTATGCAGAGTGTTAAGAATGCTCTGAATGAAGCTGGAAGGACATGGTTTATGTGAGAAACTGGTGTAGCCACTCAAAGATACAGCCACTGATGGGGAGTGAAAAGATGGACAAATGGATGAATTGGTGAATGGGGGCTTCTTATAGGGCTAGTGGAGAGGTAGGGACAGACAAGGCTATGGGGTTTTGGTGGGGTGGGAATTTAAACACAAAGATGAGAATTATAAAGCTGGCATATTGGGACAGGGCAAGAGTCAACAGGCATTTAGCAATGATTTGTGCAAGACTGGACACAAGTACCAGTTTTGGATCAGTTGGTGCTTATGGAGAATGGCAGATGGAGAGCTGACGTAAGAAATACAGCAGCAATTTAGCCTGGACCTCTAGAGTTTCCACAGCAGACAGCCCAAGGTAAAGGCAAGCTGGCAAAGTTAGAGAGATGAATACATGCTCTTTGTAGAGGTTAACAGGGCTAGAAATCAGGCTTGGCGTTGAACACGACGCGGAGATGCTTGCACACTTTGGTTCAGCCTGGGCTGGGAAAATGGGAATTCAAGTCAAGGAGCTGGAGTGTGTATGACAGCAGAGAAATTATAGTAAAACAAAAATGGTGTACCATAACAATTTGCACAGCAATGCTTCATGCGAAGATCAAACATTTGCTCTATAGGAATGTAGGTAACAGCCATGCCATTACAAACCTCTGCAAAAATAACTTACAGCAGAAAAATCAATAAAGTACTGCTAGTGTGGGGTCCTAGTATGTTAGTCAGGCAGATTTAGCCAAATGCAGTGGAAAGCCAGCAGATTGTTACCAGAGGAAGTTAAACAGAAATATATTTAGTCTTTCTGTGTTGATTTTACCTTTCTGAAGAATAGCTGTCAGATGTTCACCAAGCAGTTGCTTCTCAACACTGGCAACCAACCATTTCCTGTAAATCACAAATGCATCCAGCTATTCATTTACTGAAAATGTATAATCCACTCCCTACCAATAAAATAAAAACAGAAAAATACAGGGTAGAGAATGAGAAAATGTGAAAAGTTTCACACAACCCTGATAACGCACCCCAATAAACAGGCCTCACTACAGCCCCTGAAGCAAGCATGTGGGGAACCTTTCCAGTCAAACTGAAGAACTAAACAAAATAGGACCAAAATCAAACATGAGCAAAGGAGGTGGGGATCCTTCTTTGCAAGGAGTCACTATCAACAGGAAATCAGAGAGCCAGACATGAGGAACAACTAGCTCAGATTAGCCTGTACATGGAGACTCATGTTTATTTGCTTTCCACTCACTGACCAATAAAAGGAAGAGTTATCGATTACACTGTCCGAGTTTTCAGGTCTCACTGACCCTTACCACGAGAAAGCTGCACAGCAGGTAGGGACAACCACAGGAAATGAAGATCTGAGGACAGGGATCGGTAAAGGCAGACCATCCCTTTAAAGAGTGAAAGATGGGAAGGCATCAGCATGATACAGATATGACACCAACGGTCGAAAGTGAGCACATACCCAACCTTCTCAGGAAGCCCAGAATGCAAGCTGATGGGTCAGAAATTAGCTTGCTCAATACCCTTGGGTCTTGTGACTGCAATACATGGGAGACAATGATCACTTCAGTACACTTCCTCCAATTCTGAATACAACAGATCACCAGCACTAGGAATGAATCAATGCTGTTGCTCTCACTTCCAGCTGTAATTTATAAACCTCCCATATATAATGTAGGATGGCATCAGCATTTCTTTCATGGACAAATTAGTCACTGGATTAACCCTTGCAAAGTAGCACCTCCCTGCTTGTGAACTATCTCCCCATCACTTCTGAAGGTGCTCATTCTGGAGAGTTGTTCACTGGATGCCAGATACAGTCAATGAAAACTCATCACGTCAAAAGTGGGCTCACAAAGTCTGTGATTGTGAGGAAAAGCAGTTGTTATTTAAAGAAACAGTTTGGATGTTTAGAATAGGTTCAGGCTCCACACTGTAGGCACAGGCATGAACACTGGTTGCTGTTGAACAACAGCTCATTAAAGAATCATCCAAGATTTATGGTACAGAAAGAGGCCACATTATTACATCTGGAGTCAGCCTAATCCCTCTTTGCAGCATATGATCCATCCTGGCCCTGCAGGTTAACGGACTTGAGCTGCAAATAAGTGAGTTGAGGGTTCCGAGTTTATTGCCTTTTCAAACAGAGTGTTTCTGGCCCATAACATCTTTTGTTTTAAATCGTCCCTTTAATATTTACATGAATCACTTTACATCCATAACTCCAGTCACTGAAAAGGCTGGGGAGTTGCATTAAGTCATTTGGCAGTCAAGTACAGACATGATGGCCCAAATGTCCTCCTTCTAACACTTGTGATTCTGAAACCACTTCATTCCATAACCTTCTAAATGATTCTTTCCAGCACTTATCAACCCACCACAACATATAGAAGGGTTTCCAAACTAAGTACAGCCAAGAACACAGGTAGCATTTCTGTTCATTGCATCATAATCACTCCACTTAAAGATGCAACTCACTTTGGGAATTCTAGACAACTTAAGATGGACTACTAAGAGCTCAGGTTTTAGAACCTTAAGGTTACTTTTTCCAGTTAACTATATAAAAAAAAAGTTTCCCACATTGGTAAGTTTCTTGTTGCTTGTCCAGTTAGCAGAAGTAGGTTGCTAACTTATAGGCCATTCAAGCACTGAGCCTGAACTATCTATCCCATCAAAAAAAAAATACTTCTGGCAATAGCAGTAAAGTTGCCTATCTTCTCACCGTCCAATCTCCCTGACAAAGAGATAAAACGAAGCATAAGTTATAATTTGGCCTTCCATAACAGCTCGTATCTCACACTTGCTGTTCCCTCTACTCCGAGCCCTAAATGTGTAAGTTTTAACTCTCTCAGTCTATTGCACTTAGAATATTTAACGATGCATGATCAGAATATCCTCACCCTGCTGCAATTTCTGTCTGCATCTGTTCGTGAACATCCATATCTACAGCATACACTTGTCAACTGGGAGCACCTTGCTGGGAAAAGCTATGTCCTATATAAAACACAATCGGATTTTAATTCCGCCCCAGACTTTTTATATTAATGACAGGCTCAGAAGCTTCTGTCCTGGTCTAAACACATTGTTTGTGGGGTAAAAAGACCAACAGGACGGGGCAGAGACAAACGCAACCCTCTTCTCACACAAGGAATCCTCAATCTGCCCCAGATGCCTCCTTCAAGCATGAAGGTTATCTCATTTCATTTGCTCACCAATTCTTAAACAACCAGCTAACTACATTCTACACAGGGCACTGCAGTAAAATGCAAGGATCATTACTTACTGTGTGCTTTGATCCAAGTAAGTAATCACTCTGTCTGTTTCTTCTTCCAGGCGTTTGTTTACATGGTGAAGGTATTCTGGCACCTACATTAGAACATTAAAAATTAAAAGAGAAAAAGGAACATTGGTCCCAAGTGGAGAGCTAGTTAATAATCTTTAAGAATCACTACTACTTGCCTCACTCTCTTGCATTAGTCTTTGGCCTTCTGCTGCATATAAACAATTGGTCTCCTCCAAAAACCTCTGTTCAAATGATTCCTGGTAGACCTGTTTGATGCAAAGTCTAAATAATGGAAGGTTCTGTGAAAGAAAGAGTGAATTTCAGAGTTAAAATCTCCCTTACCTGCAGGTCTGACAGCATACTCAGCAAACTTCGGATCAAGCTTCGGTCCACAGCCTCCCCGTTTCGCTCTTTTTGGATCAGCAAAAGGATCCCATCGATGGTTTTGGTCTGGACAATTCTGTCATTGATCACATGGGTTCGGAAAAGCTCTAAACCTATGTCCCTGAAAATATAAGCACGGGGGATCTGTTACTTCTGGCAAATGGCTAAGTATTTCAAGGCTGCAACGGGCACACACAGCCTGTGTCCAGGAACGCCAGCAATGAAGAAGCCGAGATCTAACGCTAAACTTGTGATGTGCAATTATAATTTGAAATGCCGCAAGTAACAGATGGTATTTGTTTAGTTATTGCAGCATTCACTTTAACAGATTGACTTGTTTTATTTTCAACGCGTTTTCAACATTACGAAATGAAGCAAGAAAAATTTATGCCAGGTTGGATTCAGCCTCTCCAAAAACTGGAAAGGGAGAAGTGAAAGTGAGGTGGGTGGGAGGAAGTAAAGAAGAAAGTAATGGCGAGAAAAAGCAAGTCAGAAAGGCTGGAGGAGTGGGTTTGGGGGACAGGAGGGAAGAGAAAAAGAGGACAGCAGTGGGAGAAATGGAGAAAGAAGTGAATACAAGAGTCACCTTGCAGTGGGGAAGGTGAATTAAACAGAGTTTGAGAGAGAGAGAATGCTCGACATTTTGGCAATTGAAGTCTTGGGCTTCTCGGTCAGGAGGTAGGCTCTACAACGTCAGCGCATTTATCCCTCTGTGGTGTGGAGATGTACCGTGCGTAACCAGTTTAGATGCTAGTCTGCTGTGCATTATTTTGTTTCCTATTTTCAACCCTCACTGTAAACAAATGCAAATGGGCACCAGTTATGTACTCATTCAAAAGAGGAGATAAAATGGAAGTTTGGGTGCATGGAACATGATCCCAATGATTGCAAGAAAGGTGTGGTCTGGGTTGGGGGCTCAAGATCAGAAATCCCTTAAGTTTAATAGCTGGCTAAAGCGGAGGTTTGTCTGGCTCCTCAATTGTAACATCTCTAATTTCATGAAACCTACAGAATAAAACTGCACAGACTGGCTAGTGAAACACAAATTTGAGGAGGCAAGTTACGAGAAAGGGCTGAAAAGAAAAGGGAACCTTGTTTCTTCCACGTATCTTGAACATATTGATGGGTGAACTGCTGATTGAAATAACCACAGAATTCCCCTGTCATTCAAACTTAACAACAACCCACGACCAACTCACCAGATAGATGGCAGCATTGAACTCTGCAGAACATAGGTTCGGTCAAGAAACAGGAAGATGCTCCTGATCATTATCTGCAGGTAAATGGAGACATTAAAAAGCAAATATGATTGCATCACAAATAAAAAGAAACAGAATTAAATCCTAAGTCAACAGGACAAGAGAGCCCCGAGAAAGGATTTTATATCTAGAGGGCAGTTACTTACCATTTGCCGACAGTGGTCCTGCCAACACGTGTTAATCTTCTTCAGAAACAGACTGCTATCCAGTGAATCCGTGGAAGCAAAGTCAAGGAAAAACAGATCACCCCCAGTTACCAAAAGAACATCTTCAGAAAGATCATCCCATCAAAGTAGTTTGTTCAATTACCCATTCAGCATCGCTAATACCATATAAACACATTGTGTTAAATTAACACGAAACACAGTATGATGATGAACTGAGACACCACAAATCCAAGGGAAAACTTTATAGTTGTTAACTTATTTATGAAGCACTTCATCCTGCCCCCTCTCACAATCTGCTAGTAATTGGTGAGACTCTGCAACAAGCTAAGGACATTGTTTATCCCAGTATGCTTACATTACTGCAAAAGAATGCATTCATCCTCTCTGAAGAATGTTAAAACAATGAGGTCATGTTCCACAAGCTTTGGATTACATTGCTGAATGAGGTTGTGATTTGTCAGGGCAAAAGTGTTCGGAAAAATCACATCTATAGTCAGCACTTGAGAACCGTGATTTGTCAAGATCGTCAGCACGATAGTCACTAATACATCCCATTAGAGAATTCAAGGGAAACTTCTTTTCACAGACAGTGGTTTAAAATTATTTTTTCAGAACAACCAGGAAAATTAAATGGAGAGCAGAATGACCGTCTCCTAGTATGCACGCTGGTAATGTGGAAGTTGCCACAGTATGGAGCTGTTGAGGTAAATAACAGATGCATTTAAGGGAATGCTATGCAAACAGTGCAGGATCCTTTGGGAAGAAGAGTGTTTTTTTCTATAGTCACACGAGGAAGGTCTTAGGAACCCACCTTTACAGTTTTCCCTTGATGTATTGCTCAGATTGAAAGTGGGAGGTTCTTGGGAACAATGGAGAGGAAAAAGCAGGACGGCAAAGCATGGAGAAACGAACAAGAAATCCTATCCTTGGCCAGATCGCCACAACTCATTATAGTCACGAGGGAGGAAATACTGGAGGATATGCAGGTAGGGTTTGACGGAGAGGGATCGGAGGTACCTCATGTGAAACTTAATCAAGCGTACAGGCCATTTGGGTCAAATGTCCTACACATTCAATGTCATCCATGAAGCAAGTTCAGCATTTTGGTTTATACTCTGAATGAAGCTGAACCTATTACATAGAGCACAGATTCAGTAGGAAACACATTTGCTTTAATGAAATTACCTCAAACTGGCATTCTGCTAGGCACATACCAACAGGATTTGATCAAGGTGCAAAGCTCTATAACAAATCCAAAATAGAATCAGAAATCATAGAATTCCTACAGTACAGAAAGAGGCCATTTGGTCCATTCAGTCTGCAATGACCCTTCGAGGAGCATCCCACCCAGAACCACTCCCCCACCCTGACCCCACGACCCCACAACCCCACAACCCCACGTTTACCATGGCCAATCTACCTAACCTGCACGTCTTTGGATTGCAGGAGGAAACAGTGCTGCTCCATGCCATAAAGAGGCAAAGTTTAAAATAATTCATTCCTTATTTGATCACAGAAGGTTTTAACCAACAGTTAATATATTTTCAATGCCTAATTAGCAGCATCTGTGTTAAAATCTCTTCCTTTGGTGGATTAATGACAACACTAAAATTGCTTTGAAATCATTTTGACTCTTTTCTTATAGAAACATGGCCTCCGCTAGAGCTGAAAGCTTAGGCAGACCAATAGGATAACGTAAAACTGTGTTAAGTGTACAGCACAATACAACAACAAACATCTAATCAATATGAATTGCAGACAAAGCACATTATGGAGGAGAAAAAGGATATTCCCGGAACAGCAAAATCTGTGCCTTGACATGGTCTTCACATACCTGTCTCAGTTGTTTGTACAGTGTTGCTGACACTTTATAGGAGCACAGATTCTCAACAGCCTGTATGTGACAGAAAAACCCATTTCTATATCAGATCGCAATTTCAGAGCTTTCTTAAACCTCAGATAGTCGCCCACAATCACCGCTCAGCCCAGCCACGTATGGTCAAAGTGCAGGAACTTAAAGGAGTGAATAATAAGATGGTGCACTAATTATCACTGGGATCTGAGGATGGAGTTAAAGCACAGATCAGCTGCAATCTAACTGAACGATGGAATAACTATCAGGGACTAAAATGCCACCTTCTGTTCACATGCTACTTGGAGAATGGTCACCACAGCAAGACAGCTAGATTCAAGAACAAAAACAGAAGTTGCTGGAAAAGCTCAGCAGGTTCGGCAACATCTGTGAAGAAAGAAAATCAGAGTTAACGTTTCAGGTCTGGTGACCCTTCCGCAGAACAATTCTGGGGAAATGTCACCGGACCCAAAATGTTTAGTCTGATTTTTTTTCTTCACAGATGATGCCAGACCTGCTGAGCTTTTTCAGGAACTTCTGTTTTTGTTCCTGATTTACAGCATCCGCAGTTCTTTTGGTTTTTATACAGCTAGATCCAAGTTGGTTTGCAACGCCTTAACTTAACTTGGACTCCCTTGAGCACAAAACTTCCAGACAGCCCAAGGTCTCTGTGTTGAAACTTCTGGTCTGGTACAGATACCCAACCAACGTTTAAACCAAGGCTAAATCATGAATACCTTCGTCCAAAATTAACAAAGGACTTTGGAGCAACAGTTGGCCATTTGACCCTTCAAGCCTGCTCCACCATGAAATAATATCATGGTTGATCTGGTTGTGGTCTCAGCTCCACTTTCTAGTCTATATCTCAAACACTTGACTCCCTTGTCTATCAGCATTCTACTGAACTTAGCCCTGAACAGCCTCCACTAACTCCTAGAGAAGAGAATTCTACACCAACAAGCCTTTTCATTTGTCTTAAAAGGGAGCCTTCTCATTCTATATTTCCTCGTTTTATTCACTCCCACAAAAGGAAACATCCTTCCAGTACTCTCACTATCCAAAAAAAAACCCAAAGAACTGCAGATGTTGGAAATAGAGTTTATAGAGTCATACAGCACTGAAACAGGCCCTTCGGCCCAACTTGTCCATATTGACACAAGAACAGAAATGGCTGGGAAAACTCAGCAGGTTTGGCAGTATCTTTGGAGAAAAAGCAGGAGCCTTCTGTTCTGAAGAGAGGTCATTGGACCGAAGCATTAACTCTGCTTTCTCTCTAAAGATACAGTCAGACCTGCTGAGTTTTCCCAGCAACTTCTGTTCTTATTTCACACCATTCAACCCTCTTGCGAACTCATAGTTTCATAAAGATCCTCCCTCTTTCTTCTAATGGGTGTGGGCCTAAACTGTTCAAATTTCATAAGTTAAAGTCCTTCATCCAAGGACATTATAGAAGCTCTGGCTCAGACGTTAACCTGAGTACAGGAGAATTCACCTACATTTCACACATTCACTACGGACCTCCTAACAGAGAAACATTCTTTGGTTTAGATACAATTGTCATTTTTGCCGTCTGAAGACAACAATTGAGAGTCTCAGGACTTGGATTTGATTTTTACATCTGATGCTCTTAGAAAAGTGTAACCAGCAATAGACGGCCATACAAAGCACATGACAAAGTAGGTACCCTGGAGGTTCAGCAGCATAATTTCAGGTCCCATTCCTCTGATCGGTCATTTGTGCCACATTCAGTTGGATAGTATGTAGCAATACAAACTTGAGATAAGCAAACAAACTCAATACTCCAGTCTCAGGTTATTCTTACAGCTTTTATTGCTGCTTCCTTTTGATACCGAGCAGGCCGGCAAAGTTAGCAGCAATACCGACAGCTGGGAGGGCGCAGTAAATCTTCATCTATTTTACAAATTAGTGACTGTGAAGATGCTGTTGGCTGTAGTTACCTGATAAAGTTCTTCCAAATTATATTTTATTGATGTGCTATTTTGAATGGCATCCACAGCTTCATGAAGTTTCTGCCATGTGTCCTGAGTGTAGTTATCCGGCAATTTTGGTTTATCTGTTGAAAAGCAAACAGGAATCAACACCGCTGTAGGTTGGGCACTTTCATTCCTGGCTTGGGATCGATAATAGAGAATAAAATTATATACTACAAAAACGATGCGGAAGCGAATCAGACAGAGACAGAGAGGCAAGAGCAGGACACGGGACTTCGGATGTAATTTATAGAGAAATATAAAAGGCTTTAAGAATCATATGGGAAAGAGGTGGGGGTGAGGGCACTCGAGATAAAGGAATCATTATAGATCAAGACAAACGAAATGGTGAAGAAGTGAATATGGAAAGGCAGAGTCTCCAGGGTAAGTGTAGAGGGCTACTTCTGTAAATAAGTGGCTTAATGCTAGCCACATTTTAAAATATTAGCAAGGCCAAAAGTCAGCTGACCCACAAGAGATGCATCCCAAAGGTACTATAAGGTACTCTAACAGAACCTATTCTTAAGAATGGAAGGATGGGTAATATTAAATCTCGACCTTACTGTAGTGGTTACACTTCAAATGGAACTGAGAGACTAGGAATCACTTTGGGACGTACTGATGTTGTGAAACGCAAGGTAAGTACAAGCATCTTCATTCCTGGTATGGGTAAACTTTGAGTATCTACAATAGAAGGTGAAATTAGTACTAAGAAAGGAGTGAACGAGGAAGAGTCAATGTGTGTTTGCATTCTTGCTTAAGTTAAGTTCATTTCTATTTATAACATTCTGTTATTTACTTAGATAACAAGGTGTAGAACTGGATGAACACAGCAGGCCAAGCAGCATCAGAGGAGCAGGAAAGATGACGTTTCGGGCCTAGACCCTTCTTCAGGAGGGTCTAGGCCCAAAACGTCAGCATTCCTGCTGTTCTGATGCTGCTTGGCCTGCTGTGTTCATCCAGTTCTACACCTTGTTATCTCAGATTCTCCAGCATCTGCAGTTCCTACTATCTGTATTTACTTGGCTTTTTATGTAGATATTTTCAGAAACTATTAGCTAAGGTACAAAAATCTTGTTACACAATTAAGGGAACATAGTAAAAGGAATGGGACTACTTGCATTTATTTGGGGCCATTAAAATAATAAAAAGTCTAACAGCACTTCATTGAAGGATTATCAAATCAAATTTGACAGCAAACCAAAGCAAAGATGCAGGGCAAACTAATCAAAATTCTTGGGTAGACATGAATTTTAAGAAACATCTTTGAAATACAGGAGCAAGCGGTTATGGGTAGGACAGTGCAGAACGGTTCCAGGCTGCTGTAGGAAGCAAGAGAGGAGACTGCAGGGGCTCTGACATGAATTTTCAAATTGTCTCTGGCTACAGGAGGGGTGCCAGAAGACA